CGATTTGGTAAGACGTGAGGACCTCTCAAGAATTTTTTCTTGCCCAAACGTTGATAGAAAATCTTTGCTGGTGCCTTGATTCAATGAAGGCATGCACATGTATGACTATGATGAAAATTAATAATTTTATCTCTATTGAATCCGGCTTTGTCGGTAAAAATATTTTTTTCAATAAATTTGGCGTCTTCATGCCATTTTGTTCTTAACCAGCGACATAGTTCCAGACTACGTGGAAGATCTTGAGGATTTAGAGCTTGTACTCTCTTCAAATGATATATCATTTGAAGAGAATACAAGCTCTAAATCCTCAAGATCTTCCACGTAGTCTGGAACTCTGTCGCTGGTTATATGAATATAGCTGTTTATAAGGATATAGCTGTTGTTCGTGCATTATTTTCCAAACTGAACTTTTGGCAACGTCCTCTTACCTAGCAATTCTTCTAGTGCTTGTCCCAGGATTAGCGGCAACTACTTCCAGGACCGTTTCTTCGTTTTCCACTGTTCAAGTTGTTCAATTTCTTCCGCAATCACCTTTGTTTACTTTAAAAGTGCCAGTTTCACAGTCTTTGATGTAAGCTGGTATACGCCCGTTCACATGGAGGTATACCCGGAAATCAGAGCTGGGCAAAGCACTCAAAAAAAGTGCTTCGAGCACCAAGCACCAAGCCCTTTGGAAAAGTAATTGCCAGCACCAAGCATCAAGCACTTTGAAAACTTTAAGTGCTTGCAATTACCAATTACCGAGAAAAGAAATTGAAAAATTCAATTACCAAGCACCAATTACTCAAAAAGTGCTTGCAAGCACTTTTTTCTTAAATAAATTACCAATTACCAAGCACTTTTTAGTTTTCCAATTCCTTCCTACCCAATTAATTAACATCTTTATTTTAAAAATAAGAAACATTTTTGGATGATCGTTATATTAAAATAACCAAACCAAACCAAAGTTTTTTGTTTTTAATTAATTAGTCCACACAACATGACGCAAAACAATTAAAGTGAAGAAATCATCAAAAAATAAGTACAAATTATCTGCAAGAAGGAGAAAGGTACTGGCCAAGTCGGCCTTCAACCAACCAATCACATTAAAGCTTATGCTGCACCGCACACCGCATTAGATGATGATGAAACCACAGGGTTGTTACTAAGGGCATTTCCCTCTAGAGTCTAAAGTGCTCGGGAGCACTTTAAATGCTTGCAAGCCCTCAAATCTGATAGTGCTTGCAAGCCATTTGAGTGCTTGCAAGCACTTAAAAGGCTTGCAAGCACTTTAAAGGGCTTGCAAGCACTAAAGGGCTTGCAAGCACTATCAGATTTGAGGGCTTGCAAGCATTTAAAGTGCTCCCGAGCACTTTAAACTCTAGAGGGAAATGCCCTTAGTAACAACCCTGTGGTTTCATCATCATCTAATGCGGTGTGCGGTGCAGCATAAGCTTTAATGTGATTGGTTGGTTGAAGGCCGACTTGGCCAGTACCTTTCTCCTTCTTGCAGATAATTTGTACTTATTTTTTGATGATTTCTTCACTTTAATTGTTTTGCGTCATGTTGTGTGGACTAATTAATTAAAAACAAAAAACTTTGGTTTGGTTTGGTTATTTTAATATAACGATCATCCAAAAATGTTTCTTATTTTAAAAATAAAGATGTTAATTAATTGGGTAGGAAGGAATTGGAAAACTAAAAAGTGCTTGGTAATTGGTAATTTATTTAAGAAAAAAGTGCTTGCAAGCACTTTTTGAGTAATTGGTGCTTGGTAATTGAATTTTTCAATTTCTTTTCTCGGTAATTGGTAATTGCAAGCACTTAAAGTTTTCAAAGTGCTTGATGCTTGGTGCTGGCAATTACTTTTCCAAAGGGCTTGGTGCTTGGTGCTCGAAGCACTTTTTTTGAGTGCTTTGCCCAGCTCTGATTTCCGGGTATACCTCCATGTGAACGGGCGTATACCAGCTTACATCAAAGACTGTGAAACTGGCACTTTTAAAGTAAACAAAGGTGATTGCGGAAGAAATTGAACAACTTGAACAGTGGAAAACGAAGAAACGGTCCTGGAAGTAGTTGCCGCTAATCCTGGGACAAGCACTAGAAGAATTGCTAGGTAAGAGGACGTTGCCAAAAGTTCAGTTTGGAAAATAATGCACGAACAACAGCTATATCCTTATAAACAGCTATATTCATATAACCAGCGACAGAGTTCCAGACTACGTGGAAGATCTTGAGGATTTAGAGCTTGTATTCTCTTCAAATGATATATCATTTGAAGAGAGTACAAGCTCTAAATCCTCAAGATCTTCCACGTAGTCTGGAACTATGTCGCTGGTTAAGAACAAAATGGCATGAAGACGCCAAATTTATTGAAAAAAATATTTTTACCGACAAAGCCGGATTCAATAGAGATAAAATTATTAATTTTCATCATAGTCATACATGTGCATGCCTTCATTGAATCAAGGCACCAGCAAAGATTTTCTATCAACGTTTGGGCAAGAAAAAATTCTTGAGAGGTCCTCACGTCTTACCAAATCGACTGAACGGTGAAACATACTTGTGTTTTCTCCAATTTTTTTTTTCATAAAACTCCTTGATGACGTGCCATACCATTTAAGATTGCCGATGTTTTTATGCATGACCCCCCACCCCATTTTCTGCGAACGTAAGGACATATTTAGATCATATAGCAACATTTTCTTTTATTTTTACGTGTGAGGTCACCTCGAGAAATATATCAACGTTATTTCCGTACACCCTGTATAGAAAACCTATTTTAATAATTGTTAAGTTATATCACTTTAAATTGATATCTTATAGAATTTTAATTTGATATCTTGTATAATTATAATTGTTGGGAAATGTTTGATATGCATTTCAATTACATTTTTAGATATAATATATCTGTAAGAGTATTTAAAAAAGTAAATTGGATTTAGTTAATTATGCAAATTATGCAATTTCTATTGAAATGGAATGTAAAATAAGTTTTAACTGATTGATCCATTTAAAACCCCACCACAAGATGTACTGCGAAGTCCAGGACACCGCAAAATGAAAACACAAGTTAGAGCTGACAATTTTCCCATTCTACACACTATTTATATATATTTATGTATACAGGGTGTTACCTATGTAATTAATGTAATATATTAAAATACTGAATACCTTTTGACATAAGGTGCAACGGAAAAATATTTTAAAAAAATATTTCCCATAACCACAAAATTAATTTTTTCATGTTTTTTTATTTCTGTTTGTAGATGAAATAAGGACAAGTTCACAGGTTAAACTTTAAACATTCAATTTGTGTAAATAAATCCAAAAGCACTTCCCTTAGTTGAGATATTTACAATTTGAGCACATAACCTAAAATTTGAAAGAAATGCACTAAAGTCTATTCAAATCCAAGCTGGACTAAACAAAAACGCCCAGACGCGTGATAACTCGTTTCTATTGGTCGATTCTGATGGTGTGACTCGGATTGTGAGCTCTTATTGGTCGATTCGGAGGATTGTGTTTACATTTAGTCCAGCTTGGATTTGAATAGACTTTAGATTGTCATAAAAGTTGCCACATTTTGTTTGAATTTACCTTCATTACAAAAATGACATAATAAACAATTAATAAAAACGCCAAATTAACAATTTAAATTGTTGATTTAGTCATTTTTGTAATTAAGCTAAATTTAAACAAAATTTGGCAACTTTTTTGACAGAATCTGGAAACACTGGTTGTTACCAACCATAACATAATAAATTAAATTAGGCAACCAGATTAGCCTAAAGTCGATCAGTGACGTACTTTTTGGTAGGATAAAGGTTAATATAAATTATTTTTAGTCTTTAAAATTTAGAAAAAATAAGTTTCAGGTTCTTCTTTATGGACCCTAAAGGAACTACCCATTTTAATATATTACATTAATTACATAACACCCTGTATATGTATTGTTTACCTCACATGGTTTAATATGTAGTGGTAGCTATTTACATAAATAACTGTTTTACAATGTTTCTTCACATTCTATAATATATTAAATAGTAAAAGGTGTTTTAAAAAATGTCAGTGACAACTTGTCACAAACACGTGAATGAAAATCTTACGTGGAATGTGCAAAAAAATTGATGATATTACCAATAATTGTCGTAAAAACATGTGTTTTTCTAGAATATTTAAATTACCCATGCACAACTTAAATCTAAAACAAAGTTTTTTGCCAATAAACTTTTAGCAATTCGTTGTTATGGACACAGAAGTTAAAATGAAAAAAATTATACAACTTTTAACAAGGGTGTGTTTACTTTGTCAAAAGAAATGCAAAATACCTATTTGGACAATTTTTACTTAATTTACTAACCAAAATCCATATGTTACACTTTTGACTTCAGGGAAACAAAAAATTATTAATTTAGGTTACAAGTTACTTAGTTATCAATACTAAAAATTCGGTATTTATCGCTAAAATTTGCAAATGAATGCGTATAAGCAACCGTTACCATATTTGTTACAACAATAAATATTAATTGTTTGTCTAGCAAGAATGTAGGGTTAATATTAACATTTAAAGGATGGTGCATACCAAGCAAGGACAATGTATACTTTGAATGCAAATATGCCGTTTGTTTTCTGACACAAGATTTAATTTTCTATGACACAATTGCTTACAAATACATTTTGTAGGTTTATTGCACACATGTTTTTGAATGAAGACTTTTTAATAAATTTTGCATAAATATACAAGTTAGTATTGTTACAAAATAAAAGTAATTTTGCCCGAAGGGCTCGAGTGGCAAACAGGGTTGAGAAAAGATCTGAAGAATTATTATATTATACACTGAACTGTTATAACTTACTTCCCATTTAGTATGAAATAAGTAAAAATTACATCGTTGTAAAGATGTCCCCGTTCATCATCATGGAGGAAATATCTGCTTTCACCGGCCATCCACTGAATAATTGGTCGCGCAGAAGACTACTGCTGAAGCAAAGCAGGCTTAGCAAAACAGTCGAAAGTCGATTCTTGACTGGCGCGCGCTGATTTCTTCTTCTGCTCCATAATAGCAGCACTTTGCGCGAGTTTGTTTTGTTTTTTATCGACGATACATTTCTTCGGTCGACAAGTGTTTTATTTATGGTGATTTTTTTCAAGTGGTGGTGATTCTTTTTGTTTACTTGTTACTTGATATTGTATGTAAGCAAAATGAATTTTTTTTCTGAAATTTTGAAAAAATTTTAAATCTTGAAAAAATTGATTTCTAAATTAAATAGGTACATTAAAAGTAGAATTTCTCATGAAATATACCCAAAATTATCCTGAATTAATTTATTTATTTCACAGATAAAATCTTAAATATTAAGTAACAAATTAACAATAATCCTTAATAGGCATTACACGTCGTAAATATCATAACAAAAAAAAACAATGATGTGAAAAACATCATAATACAATGAATAAAGTGTAATAAACAATACCGACAAAGTTAGCAACATCTTCATCATTTAAATTATAATTAATTATAATAGACTAAATAAAAAAATGTCTAAAATCGCAGAAACCCAGCAAAAAAACACGTCAATTTCTGACAACTTGGACGCAATCACGTCTGAAAGCGACACGCATACGAAAAGTATGGATAACAACTTGACGATATCCACCAAACTATCCACGGATCAACTCATCTGCAAAACGCCGCAACTGTCTCCCAGTATTTCTGTAAAGTCCTTAAAGGACGAAACTACGAAGAAGAAAACGGTTCGTATCAATGGGTTCTTGTATCTGGGAATTTTGCAAGTTTTGTTCGGCATCTTGATGATGGTTTTTGGTGTGCTGGTCATATTGCACAGGGCCAGTTTGTCACAGGTAATTTTTTATTAATAATATTTAAATTACATTGATATATATTATAAGGGTGATCCTCCACTATTATAGTACAACTCATATAATATATTATTTAGACCTGTGCTGCAATTTTGCATTTTACGGCAAAACGGTTAAAGTTACAGGTAAATGGTATTTTTATAGGAAATTAAATTTTCTATGAAAAAAGTAATATGAATTAATGCAATAAAATGCATAGTTAAAAAGATATAGAGCATTTAATAAATTGTAATGTCAAATATTGTTAAACTAATTATTACTATGGTAATAATTAGTTTATATATGTTGTTTTGCGGAAAAACGGTTAAAATTACAGGTAAAAAGTAAAAAAAGTTTTTATAGAAAATTCAACTTCCTACCAAAAATTTCCTATGCATTAATGCAATAAAATGCATATTTTAAAAGATATAGGGCATTTAATAAATTGTACTGTCAAATATTGATAAACTAATTAGTACTATGTTGTTTTACTGCAAAACGGTTAAAGTTACAGGTAAAAAGTAAGAAATACTTTTATAGAAAATTCAACTTCCCACCAAAAATGCCTTATGCATTAATGCAATAAAATGCATAGTTTAAAATATATAGAGCATTTAATAAATTGTACTGTCAAATATTGAAAAACTAATTAGTATTACGTTATTTTACGGCAAAACGGTAAAGTTAGATGTAAAATTCAAAAACGCTTTTATAGAAAATTTAACTTCCTACAAAAATGTCATATGCATTAATGCTTAAAATGCTTAGTATACAAGATATAGAGCATTTAATAAATTGTACTGCCAAATATTGATAATAGTATTAGGTTGTTTTACGGCAAAACGGAAAAGTTACAGTCAAAAAGTAAAAAGAGATTTTTATAAAATTCGACTTTCTACAAAAAAGTTCCTTGCATTAATAAAATAAAATGCATAGTGTAAAAGATATAGAGTATTTAATAAATTGTACAATCAAATATTGATAAACTAATAAGGGGACATCCATTAATTACGTGAGATAAAAATAGGGTGGTGGGGTCTAGCAAATGGGAGGGGAGGGTTATTAAAAATCTTACGTCAACTTTTGGGTTTAAAGAATATGTATTATAATTCAAATTTGTCAAAAAAAGTAATCATTTTTTGGTTTGGTTTATCATGTTGTCCGCAAAGAAAGTTTATTCTCTTCACGTGAGGGATAATTTAATAAATTGTACTGTCAAATATTGATAAACTAATTAGTATTATGTTGTTTTTCCGTAAAACGGTAAAAGTTACAGCTAAAAAGTAAAGTAGGATTTTATAGAAAATTCAACTTCTTACAAAAAATGTCTCATGCATTAAAAAATATAGAGTATTTATTAAATTGTACTGTTAAATATTGATAAACTAATTAGTATCATGTTACGGCAAAACGGTTAAAGTTACAGCTAAAAAGTAAAAAATGATTTTATATAAAATTCAACTTTCTACAAAAAATGTCCTATGCATTAATGCTATAAAATGCATATTTTAAAAGATATGTACTGTCAAATATTGATAAACTAATTAGTACCATGTTGTTTTACGGCAAAACGGCTAAAGTTACAGGTAAAAAGTAAGAAATTAAATATTATATACATTAATGCAATAAAATGCATAATTTAAAAAATATAAAACATTTAAAAAATTGTTCTGTCAAATATTGTTAAACTAATTATTACTATGTTGTTTTACGGGAAAACGGTTAAAGTTACAGGTAAAAAGTAAGAAAAGCTTTTATAGAAAATTCAACTTCCTACAAAAAATGTCATATGAATTAATGTAATAAAATGCATATTTTAAAAGATATAGTCTATATCTATATCATATAGACCATTTAATAAATTGTACTGTCAAATATTGATAAACTAATTAGTATTATGTTGTTTTACGGAAAAAAGTTTAAAGTTACAGGTTAAAGGTAAAAAGTTTTTATAGAAAATTTAACTTCCTCAAAAAAGGTCATATGCATTAATGCAATAAAATGCAGATTTTAAAAGATATAGAGCATTTAATAAATTGTACTGTCAAATATTGATAAACTAATTCAATAAAAAATTTGGATTTAACATATCAAACGCTGTGTTCTACTAAACCACGTCCGATTTAGCCGGAGGCTAAACTGAATGAAATGGAATTTTATTTTCGCTTTTTAATTTTAAACTATGAATATGTTAAAGGTTCATAGACACAATTTTACAAATAATTTGGAATATGTTAGAAAGTTAAACGAACATAAATTTTTAATGGGTGGTACCTGTCATGGTTTCTGCAAAAACTTATTTATGTTTATATATTTTTCGTTTTTTTATAAAACACTCGCTCGCTAGCTTCGCTCGTGCCTAATAAAACTCGTAACTAAATGGCGCTCATCAAATTGATACATAACATAATATTAATTAATGCCTGAACTTTTGCTTAAATAAGTGTAACTGAATAAATTTGTATTGAGTAAAAGTACAAAACTTCGTTTTATGACGTCAATAGACATGACCTATCACGATACTAAAAGCAGATTATAAATAATACCTCCACAATTATTTTGTTACTAAATTATAGTTTCAAAGGCGTATTATGTGAGAGGAAATTAAAGAGGAGCTCTTAAGTGCTCAAAATTATACAGCAAAGTGCTTAAAAGGGTAACAAGGAGGTTTAAAAATTGCTAAAAGACGATAGAACATTGTAGTCTTTAAACTTTAAAAAAACTTTTGTCAGACTGTGTTTACTAACCTTTCAAAAGGGACGCCAAAGTTTTTAAGTAAAAATTAAACAACTAGTTCTGTATCCGAGCCAAAATCTCTAGCAACCACTACAGAATTCCACTACAGGTGCAGGTGCTGCACTAGCGTAAAATGAACGTCCTTCACAACCCGCTGAACTGTGAAGGGGAAATTCTCTTCCAACTTCCCTTATGCTCTTCCTACTATTTGCATCAATGGTATTAAAAATAGCTTCTTTATTTTAAGCTGTTTTAACATGCTAAAGAAGTATCGCTAGTAGCGTCACCACTCGGCTGTTATCATCGTAGCAAAAGTAGAACTTTTAATAATCAGCTGTAAAACGCTTAGGTTATAAACGAGTGTTTTTGAGTATAAAGCCATAAAATGTTGAAAAATATCAAAAAAAAAACCGTGGATCGAATTGTTGTGTTGTTGGGTGTATTTCGAGACGAAATCCTGGTTACCGGTTTTCCAATAAACAGTGTAAATCTGAATGAAGAAATAAATTGCATACAGTCTCTGTAAATATAAATTGTACCTATTAGATACAATAAATACACACTTTAGTAGTGATTAACATGAAAAGTGTAAACCTTTCAATTCAGTAAAAATCGTCAAACAAATAAGTCGTCTAAATTTAAACAGCATTTAGCATTATTAAAATCGTTGATTAAGAAAGTCTCCACTCCACGGTAAAATACCATTATATTATGTAATATTGTATAATATTGTTGCCATAAATATTCATTGCATTATCGTTGCATTTTCATGTTTTGCCAAAGGATCCAATTCGGTAAGTACATTTGTTGGTGCAGAATTAACTAATGATAACTTTTCCTAATATAATTTATATTTAAGTTTAGACATTTTTAAGAAATTAGTAAAAAATATCTTTTGCATAAAATCAACCATTTGAGTTATCTAAAAAACGCCGACAACTGCATATTAAACAACAAAATATACCTACGAATTAATTCAAAATGCAACGATTTAGTTCTTGAATCTTATTTACAATTAAAAACACAATAATCCACCATGAAAAACACATGAAAAACACCATGAAAAACACAATAATTTACCATGATCCCCTATAGCTTATCTATAGATAAAATACACACTTTAACGTAACATGATTATCATTATTATAAAATTGTCGCAATAAAAAAATCAATCTAGTGCATAGCGAATAGAACCAATTATAATTGTAAATGGATGGCATTAATAAATGGAAAATTGCTACAAATTAAAATTTAATGGAAGAAATGTACGATACAACCTGAAATTATTAAGATGTTGTTGCATGAGTGAACTATATAATTACGCAAAATATATTATCCATAGATAAAATCTGTTGCTGCGGCATTTTGCTTGCGCAATATTTTTTAGATTTTAATATTTTTATTGGTGGGATTTAAGATGCAGGTGTTTCATTTATTAGGACATTTAAATGATTTATATCGTGTAATTATGGGTTAGGGCACAAACCACACAACAAGGTCTGTTTTATCTTATTTCGCGTATAATAAATATCACGTTAGGCAACCCACTGCACAGACTTTAACGGCGGCCATTTTTGTTTTGTTTTTGTTTGCAATTCTTGTGCTTTGGGTTTCTGCTGTTTATTTTACTACTCTTGTGCTTTGGGTTTGTGCTGTTTATTTTACTACTCTTTAAAAAAAAAATAAACCTTAATCTAGCAGACTGTCAAATGTCAATTTTAAGGTTAATTTGTGGGTATGGTAAATTTGTGGGTTATGGTAATTTAACCTTAAAATTGACATTTGACAGTTTGATGAGGAGACATTTTATTTTATGATATGTCAATGGCGTACACAGAGAAAAATTTGTTGGATTTGTTCAACAAAGTGGTGCTAAAAAGGTGACCGGAAAAGTTAGTTGTATATTGTTGCAAATAATTGTAGTAAACTTATATAAACTTCCATAATTTATTTGACATTTTAATCTAATCGGCTTATATAATTTGTGTAAGTAAATTAGTATTTTAGAAACTTTTTAATATAATATTTTGTGATAAAATTGCACAAATTTTGGGACATAAAAACACAACTTTGTTTAATAATAATTTTTCCAATGTATTTAAAAAATTTAATAATATTTGGGATGCGAGGGAGGTAAAAAGGAAAATAAAACTGAATTATTAATTTAGAATCTAAATTTTAGATACCTACCTATGTATTCGGCGCCTTATACAAAAAATATGGAAAATAGAATACCTAAACTTAATATAAACTGACACTGACAAAATTAAATAAACATAACAAAACATAAACTACAAACTTAAAAATAAAATTCGTATAGTTAATTCTAATAATATTGAGATATATTTCAACATGAAGTTCGTCTCCACTTATAATACATACATATGTCGATAGATTAAATATGTATTCAGCGACCAACGCAAACATTTTGGATACCTTTGGCGTCCCTTTTGAAGGATAGAATTAAGTTAATATAAACTGAAAACATAAAATAAACATAAATTAAAAACTAAAGTAAATAGTAAGCTGATCAATAATGTAGCACAGTAGGAACATATAAACACTTTTTATCCTCATTTGATCACAGGTCATAATTATTGATTTATCACAGTCCCTGAATATTTAATAATTACTCACTAGAAATGTGGTACTAACCTCACAATGATCCACTTCCTAACACTAACTAAAACTGCAAACTAATGATGCAGATTGCAGTTGGAAATTATTTCATTGGTTATCTTAAGTGGTGTGATTCTTACGAAGGCGTAGAAGGGCCAAAATTCAAATCTGTAGTTTTTACTCAACAAATTTCTGAGATATAACTCGAAATTTTAAAATTTCGAGCTGTAAGTCGAAATTTTACACCAAAATTTCGTGTTATATCTCGGAATATTAAAATTCTGTTTTATATCTCGGAATTTTAAAATTCCGTTTTATATCTCGGAATTTTAAAATTCTTTGTTATATCTCGGAATTTTAAAATTCCGTTTTATATCTCGGAATTTTAAAATTCTGTGTTATATCTCGGAATTTTAAAATTTCGTGTTATATCTCGGAATTTTAAAATTCCGTGTTATATCTCGGAATCTTGTACGAACTAGGGGCATTGTTGCCACTGTTAGTACTTTTGTACTAGATCTAGTACTAAAATTGATTTTTTAGTACGTTATTAGGCTTTAGAAAAATCAATAGATCTACTTTTTATAGTTGGATATATTCTCGCAACAAAATTGGTTTAAACCACAAATGTGTGGTTTAAACAGAGTAAAAACCAAAATAATTTTTTAATCATTTTGACAACAATGCAAACAAATGACTGACTTCCTGTCAGTGACATATTAGTAAAATTTCCCACATATAGCAGCATCAAAAATGTGCAAATGCACTGGGTGTTTTGCAACCTTCTTTATTTCTGTCACAGGCTTTTATGGGCTTTTTTATATCTCACAGCCAGTGTTGCAGACTGCTACTTTTTTAGAAGTTCTTGAGCAGGACTGCCAACATAAATGCCTTTAGTTGTCTGTCAAATAGTTAATTTGTTTTTTATAATATTTTCAATTAAAAGTGCATTCATACCAATATTCGTAACAAAAAACCAAATATATAAATTATTGGTGCTGCCATTTGTGGCCAATTTCACCAATATAGCATTTAGTACAATCTAGAACGAAATGACGGAACCACCTAGTACCTATAAAATAAAAAGAACGAGTGGCAACACTGACTAGTGGTGAATGGCGAAATCGTCTAATGGGCGACAATTCGAGAATTTTAAAATTCCGAGATAAAACACGGAATTTTAAAATTTCGAGATATAACAGGGAATTTTAAAATTCCGATATATAACACGGAATTTTAAAATTCCGAGGTATAACACGGAATTTTGAAATTCCAAGATATAACACGGAATTTTAAAATTCCGAGATATAACACGGATTTTAAAATTCCAAGATATAACACGGAATTTTAAAATTCTGAGATATATTATGGAATTTTAAAATTCCGAGATATAACACGAAATTTTAGTGTAATATTTCGAGATATAACTCAGAAATTTGTAAAAAATACAGATTTGAATTTTGAATGACCCTTCTACGCCTTCGTAGATTCTTCACTCCGGAACAAATTGTCCGATATTGTAAAATTTACATTCCAACTCAAACTTATACTATATTTATACGAATTATTTTAAAAATTGTATAAAAGAGTAACATTTATTTTTGAAATATTTTTAACAACAGATATCAACTCTTTTTTTGACAATATTATGCAAATCTTACTGTTTCCAACAAATTTTAGAAAATTGACTTAACAAACTAATTAGAAAAAACAATCCAACTATCTTGCTCCAATGGCATGTTGCACAACTTTGTGGATTTTTCTCTGTGTAGACTATATATTTTAGATTTTACTTACTATTTACCTTTGCATACTTTTCAACACTTTTATTATTTTTTTCAGTATGGGGGTGGTTTTTGGGGAGGTGGTCTGGCAGTAGCAACAGGAATTTCAGGAATTCTTTCGGCAGCCAAAACTTTCTGTCCACTGAAATCAACCGCTCAAACTGTAGCTCATACAGTCTATTTAGCTTTGAGCCTCATAAGCTTAGCAGTTTCTCAGCTTGTTGTGGTAATAGCTGCAACCGGATTGGCTAGGGATGTCAACATTGTCGACCCAGACGATAAGGTAGGTATTTTTAAAAATTTAAACCCAACTGTCTTTCCAGAAATATTTATTTCAAAACGGCGAAATATGTTTTAGAATCTTAATAACACAATTTATAGTGTTTAAACTTATTAGTCAATTACAATTGCTACGAAAAAATCCTATAAATTTAATGCATTAATAGAGATACTAACAAATTAAGTTTCAATACTTCTCACCGCTGCTTATGCACGGCCGCTAAGTATATATACCGATAGGCTGCTATATTTAGTTGGAGGTGTGCGTCTGTGATGGCACAGCTGAGCATTGATCGTTCCATACGTTTAGAGTGGGGCTGATCTGCTCAGTTACGGTGACGTCACGTGGTCGATCCAGCAACCATCTGTTCAAGCCGATGCCTTGTCGCACGGCCGATCACTGGTTTCTTGAGCGTCCGAAATTTCCAAATTTCAAGGGGTTTACCGGATGGGTTTCATTTAGATTTGCACCTCCAAACAACGGCGCTGCGGAACAAAGTAGTCTGCCCTTTTTTGTTCCTAAATGTTATGTTATTACGTTAAAAAAAATTATATACATTGTAACGAAGTTACTTTAATTTTCCCATATTTACCGCCGCTTGTACGCCCTGTATATAGATTTTCGTACAAGTGGACCTGCGACGTCATGGTTCCACTTCCATGCTATTCAAACAAGTGGGGAGCTGCGCCGTTTGGTTCCCTGATGTCGCCATTGCGCACCCGAGATGATATAAAAGGCCGAACAGAGCAATTAAAACTCTCTCTTATATCCCGTCAGCCCGACCCCGAACACCCGAACTAAGCTCTTTTTGTTCCGGCTCTTAGCTCTCTCTCTTTGTCTCCCGTGTTCCGGCTATCTTATATCCCGTCAGCCCGACCCCGTACACCGAATTATAGTAAGTAATGTCTTCCCGCTAACAGTTATAAAGTATTTTCCCGTGCCCGAGCCAACGTTCGCCCCGTACCGCTCGGTATCTGCTCTGCCGTAGACAGTGCCCAGCAGGCGAATCGGCCGGCACCCGAGAGCCCGTCCCGTGAGCGTCGATATGCTAAAAACCCGTCAAAGGCCCGTAGTATTTTCTTCCCGTAATAATTAATTTCATTTTATTTTACAGCATTGGTTTATTTGATTGCATTTCCGTATTAATATTTGCTAGAAGTGTGACCTTCAGTTTTTTATATTCATTGTTCCCGTTTTTTTTTATTAATTTACTTTTGTTGTCAATATTATTTTATTTAGTTAATGCACTTCTAATATTATAATCTTTTCATATTACTTCAGTTTGGTAATTTAGGTCCTCTTTATATACTGAGTGTTCTACTTTTCATTATTGTTTAAATTATTATTTGTTTTGTATATATACAAAACAAATAATAATTTAAACAATATATAGAGAGTTTTATTATTATTTCAATATATGTATTAAATTAAACCATTGCATTTTACTCGTAATACAAGCTAATTGACCCCTGGAATATCCTTTCTCCACTGTCTAAAAGCAGGCCCAGGTACGTGGTGCTTCTCCACTTTAAATAACGAAGCTGGCGCTCGAGATTTTATAAGAAAATCCATAAGGTAAGCTCGCGCCATTTATCACTAACGTTACAAAATCCCGAAACAACGTTACAACATGCTTGAAAAAGCTATTAAGTCAACACTCTTCCATAGCATTTCAATGATTGCATGGGAATTCAAGGCATTTCAAGGACAATAATTACTAAGTGATTCTACTTAACGAGATAATTTTTTTAGGTTTTACATTCACTTATGTAAGGAGTGCCTAAATTGTTAAGTCAATTAAAAAATTATCCTACCTTCAGTATGAAAAATAATTTATTAGATTTTAGTGACACAAAAGAGGAAGAAAACAAATTAGGTATTTTATCTGTGAAGGTAATCTTTAAATGTTGTTAATTAATATTATGAATTGGAACCTATTGTATCAAAAAATATTATCTCAATATTAAGTGGAGATTATATCATGAATAAGTTATTTGGAACAATCCCAAAAAAAAACTTATAAGTTTTTAAGTGTTATAACACCAGTAAATACTGAATAAAGTTGTTTATGTAATTTTATTAGTATTAAAACTTTAATTTAAGGCCAATAACACATTAATTTCATAACACAGGATGCCATAAACAAATTAAAATCAAATTGAAACTGAAACTGTAATTTAAAATAAACCTATGTACTACATAGTATGTAGGACCTACATTGTAGGTACTAATATTTTGAAACCAAAATTAAAATATAATCCTTTAATATTTCTGTGAAACTATTGCGTTTTTATTAGTATTATATTATTATTATTTTATTTATATTTTTGTGCAATACAGATTAATATTATATATATATATAATATTTATTATTATTATTATTTGAACTCAATTTTTGCATCTGCTTTAAAGGATAAGGTAAAAATTCGCACAATAAATAAAGATATATATATCTATATATACAAAAAATTTAAAAATTTCAAAATTTTTAAGATTTTCAAATTTTCAAAATCTCCACTATTTTCAAAATATTCAAGATTTTCAAACTTTACGAAATTTTCAACTTTAAAATTCTTCTAAATTGCAAAAATTTTCAAATTTTTTAAAACTTACAAAAATTTCACAAACATACAAAAAATATTAAATTAGAAATTAAAAAATTAAAGAAACATTCGCAGTAGTATAAATATAAAAAAAATGTCAACACTTTTAGTTTTACTAGTTTTTAAATTTTTTTTATAATTTTTAAATATTTCAAGGTTTTAAAATCTTCAAATTTACAAAACTCAAAATTTCCAACATTTTAATTTTACAAAAAAACTTTTCAGATTTTAAAATATGGTTATTTGGATATTTGGATACTTTTAAAAATTTTCAATATATCCAAAATTTTCAAAATGTAAAAAATATTCAAAAATTTTTAAAACAAAAATTTTCAAAATATGTAGGTAGGTATAGAAAAAACTTAAAAAACTCTAAAAATTTATTATTTTATTATATTTTTATTAACCACATAAAAAATGCCTATATAGGTATAGTGTTAAACCTTGAAATACCTGTTAAATTTCACAATCAAAGTAGAATCAAATAAATATCTTGGTATAGTAATAAATAATACCGTAATTTGTATAGAATAGTGTAAAAATTCTTAACCTAGTTAATAGACATGCCTAGAGGCAGTTTAATAAGTAATTACAAATTTACTGAACTTGCACATGCTGTTTCGTTATATCAAATAATTATATTTTTCTACTCCCACCTTTAAAATGCCCTTTATCGTACATGTTTCCATGACACTAAGTGACCTTTTAAATACACATTGACAAGTTGTGGCTTTATACCGCTTTAGTCACGGGCTGAAGTTAGCAACAGGTTTTTAGTCACGGGTTGAAGTTAGTTTTAAGTTAGTTGATATATGTCAAATGTCATACAATCGTTAAAATAAAGTGCCTTTCTTATAAAATAATACTAAATGTGAAAATTATTTTATTATCTCAATGCAAAAATACAAAAGTATTAAATAGTTTCTCAACGCCAATATTTGAAAAGTTTATATGAACATTGTACTGACCTTTTAATTTCGCCGGAAGTAAACTATAACTTAAATTTGGGCACGGACTCCACTGTAAAGTGCTCATAAAACATTTTCTTTACTTTCACTGTGAAAAACTGTAAATTTTCAATACATTTCGTAGAACCTTTATAATCTATAAAATTAAAAAATTTGACGATGACACACAGATTCTCCTATTGTTTCATAGATGACGCTCTATACAAATTTATTTAAGATAATAATAAGTATTTGTCGTAGAAAAAGTATAGTATGCACCTCGTTTAAAAACTATACACTCATTAATGTAAGCACTCGCTCGTGTATAAAATGGCGTCAAACTTGATACATAATATACTATTATATAGCTGAATGGCATGCCATTTTAGTTACGAGTTTTATTATGCACGAGCGAAGCTTGCAAGCGAGTGTTTAATAAAAAAGAGAGTCTAGAGAAGTTTATAAAACGAGTTTCATACTATAATTTATCTACGACGAACACAAAGAAGAATTTAAAGCCAATTTTATTTGTTAAACATTTGGCATCTGTCAAATGTCAACGGATTTAACCTTACTTTTCCCCAATTTATAATAAATCTAATTTCAGCCCGTGATTAAAACGCCATAAACTCACAGCTCGTAGGAGTAGATAATAGTATATTATTAAGTTTGATAAACGCCCTTTTATACACGAATTTAATTTAGGCAGGAGCGAGCTTGCGAGCGAGTACTTAAATTAATAAGTGTATAGAAAAGTTTATAAATGAGGTGCATACTATACTTTTTCTACGACAAATACTTATTATTATCTTAATAGTATATTATGTATAAAGTTTGATAAACGCCATTTTATACACGAAATTAAGGAGTGTATAAAAAAGTTTATAAACGAGGTGCATACTATACTTTTTCTACGACAAATACTTATTATCTTAAAATGATTTAAATCATCTATGAAACAATAGGGGAATCTGTGTGTCACCGTCAAATGTCGTATTTTTGTATTTTATAACACAGATTATAAAGGTTATAAATCGAAATGTATTTCTTTAAAATTGACAGTTTTTCACAGTGAAAGTAAAGAAAATGTTTTATGAGCACTTTACAGTGGAGTCCGTGCCCAAATTTAAGGTATAGTTTACTTTCGGCGAAATTAAAAGGTCAGTACAATGTTCATATAAACTTTTCAAATATTGGCGTTGAGAAACTATTTAATACTTTTGTATTTTTGTATTGAGATAATAAAATAATTTTCACATTTAGTATTATTTTATACGAAAAGCACTTTATTTTAAGGATTGTATGACATTTTAAAACTGTCAACTAACTTCAGCCCGTGACTAAAAACCTGTTGCTAACTTCAGCCCGTGACTAAAGCGCCATAAAGCCACAACTTGTCAATGTGTATTTAAAAGGTCACTTAGTGTCATGGAAACGTGTACGATAAAGGGCGTGGAAAAAAATCATTTAAGACATTTTCAGGGGGGTTTACAAAATGCAAGAGAATAATTTACTATAGCTGAAGCTATATATCTATTGTCAGATGAGCCATCTTAACTAGTTTAAAATGAAAGTAATTTTAACATCTAATTTTCCAATTAAAATTTAGAAGCGTTATACACCACTAATTTTTATTAATATGCATCTCGAATTAGTGAGTTTATTATCATTTCGATTTCTTAAAATATTAGTTGATATACTAAAAACGGTATATACCACTTAATTATTTAAAGCTTAACTTTCACTGATATTAAACATGGTATGCTTAAAGAAAGTAATTTTTTATTTAAGACGGAATCTTCAAATGGACCAAAACAAAAATAGAAAGTGGTCGGTTAATTTTAGATATCTATGGGTACAGTGATAATTGTTTTTATTATAGCTTACAAATGGTAATATTTTAGAATCTTGGGCATACAAAACTAATTTTTTTCAGCCCCCAACAATCCACTCCATAACAGACGACATCTCCATCGAACTTCCATCAAATTACCACAGCATTTTAGCCAACGTGGGACTTCTGATCGTGGCAGCTGTGGAATGCGCATGCGCAGCGATTGCAGCGTATAAAAGTGCGCGGGATGTTTGCCCGTGTTTCAGAAAAAACAACGATGAGAGTTTCAGGGAGCTCAACCTGCAAAACAGCCACGCTATAGTCTCTTCCTGGCTTGGAAAACATGCTGGCGACAGTCCCGCTCCTCAGTTTTATGTTGTGGCTGCGGCCCCGCCACATTCCACTTTAGGAAAAGTTAGCAAGGTAGGCAAAAACATAAGAAGAGAAAAGCATCGACGCAGTTACATAATAACCATCATAAAAATATCGAAAAATTGCATATAATGCGATTTTTTATATCTACCAATTTCACGCCATGTGCAATCAATAATTACTATTGCTAGTAATATTTATGTAAATGGTTACGACTAGGTGGTTTTTGGTTTTGTTATCAAATCATTTTACCAAGCGTTCAGTCATAATCTCTATTATCTTTAGATTCGCAATGTTATTAATTACACACCATAAATTGGTATTTTAATTACCTACCTATTATAATAGGTTCAACGATCTTACGATATTTCATTATACAGGGTCCGGCAACAAAATTGAACGGTTTTAAAAATGCTGCTATGGAAATACTATTGATTTGATATATGTCAAATAGTGACAGGCTTGTACCTTATTGCCGAAAGTTTCGTGGCTGCTATAGAAATACTACATGTTGATTTGATATTATGTTAAATAGTTGAGGATTTCTGCATTGTTGTTCATTGTCTCTAAAAATTGTGTGCAGAAATCGAGTCGATTGACTTTATCAATGGGATTTAGCCTCTGGACTGTCTGTATCTTGTACAGATGGAGTTTTAAATTCAGATGTAAAATTGTTTGCAAACTTCGGTCTGAAATGTGTAGAGAATTTGTAGTGCCGAACTACAGAACGTCGTGGACTGCGCTCAAACGCTTCTCTGACTCTCCCAATATTTTCTTGTGTACGAACTGTACGAGTTCCACCGGCGAGTTTTGATTTTTCACTACTTTTTTCGTTAAAATCTCTTACCCATCTCAAAATGGTATTTCTTGATGGGACTTCCGATCGCACTGGCAAATTATATTTACGACGAAAGCGTCTCTGCGTTTGTACGAAGGACTGGGTCAGGGGGTACACGAATTTACAGCAGATCCCTTGATTAATCGGCCAGTTTGCCATTGCACACGAAACGTTCGGAAATAAGGTATAAGTCTGTCACTATTTGACATATACCAAATCAATAGTATTTCCATAGCAGCCTTTTCAAAACCGTTCAATTCTGATGCCGGACCCTGTATTTAGGCTTTCTTCTATGCAATCGGTCATATTCTCGTCAAGGAAGAAAGGACCTGTGATCCGATTTTCCACCATTCCTGCCCAGAAATTCATTCTTTGCCGGTATTGAGTTTGCCTCTATACTACCCAATAAGGATTTTCTCTGCTCCAGTATCTACAATTTCGACGGTTGACTTTAGATACTATTCAAACTGAAAAAAAGTATTTTACGAGGAAACTGTGGATTATTGTTACATAAATTCATCATAGTTTCACACAATTGTAGTCTACGGTCCGGATCATCTTCGTTAAGTTCCTGCACTATAGTCTAATTTTGTATGGATGGTACTTTTCTTTCTTCATAAGAAGTAATACTGACTTGACTTTCAGCTGCGACTACACTGTTCAAAATTTCATGACCATTTTAATTAACACCAAATTAACACCATACATTGTCTATATCGATACAAACCAAAATGGTGTTAAATATGGTCCGTTGGTCCAGTGTAAATTCAAATACTAAAATAGTGTAAATTTAACTTTCACACAAAAAAAAAAAATTTACCTGGTGTCAATTGAACTTCTTTTCAGTGTTAAATATTATGTGTTTTTGATCAAATTTAATCATACTACATAGAAAAAAGGAAACAGGAAGTTCCTTGACGCATTACTAGTATATTACCAGTGGTATTTTCCAGAAAATTGAACCTTCAACTCACTAGAGATAATGTTTTTAGTGCGTTTCACCAACTTAAAATACTTAAAGTATTGACAGCTGTTTCCACCTATTTAAGGTATCTTTAGTATCGAACAAATTGTAGTGTCACACCAAAGCAAAGGACTACCTGAGCTTATATAGTCTTCATGTACATCAACAGAGGCGAGATTTAAGAACATCACGTGGTCCACACCGCCTTTGCCGCGATCGGTACACACTATGCAACCAGGAATGCACGGCAAATTGTTTTAATCGTGAGTGCTTTTGGTTGAAGTAACTCGTATTTTACAAACAACATATTTAGTAAACTGAACCATACAGCTTTACTAAAGTTTTCTGGGTTAATTTTAACAATTTAAAAAAAATATATCTATGTGGTTTAGTACCGTCAAACTAATCTTTGTTTATATTTACCTTCCCACAGTTTATTTAAATAATTACTTATGGGTCAACTAAATTAATATAGTTAAATAAACTATTCCTTTTTTCTGTGTAGGTGCACTTCTCAAATATTTTTAGATAAACACCGTTTTGGTGTTTGCTGTATATAACATTTTCAACCATAATTCATGGTGTTTATATTAACACCACTTGGTGTTGGATTTTGACACCATTTTACACCACAGATATTTTAAACAGTGTAGGCACGAGTAATAGGTCGAGCTGGATACTTTGCATTAAATAAATTGTTGTGTTCTAGTTTTATTGTCAGATCCTATGAGAATTAAAACTTCAATTCTCCGTGTTTCTGTTAATTGACCCATATTTAAATACTTACTTCGAAATATTTGGAGAACGCTTAAAAGACAGATACTTCACTGAACGCTCAACTTAAAGTATTTACATCTAGTAGGGAATATTTGTTTTAAATTATATGCTAACAAAGAAATATAAAATAAAAAACTATTAGCCCAAAAGGTATGAATGTGCATGTTGATGAAATCACAATTTCATAATCTATTTGTATCTCAAAAAAAGAGGGGGGTACAATTTAAAAAAAAATAATATTAATAATTAATTCAAAACACAACAACCAGAAACACTTTAAGTTTTCACTTACTTAATTTGGCATAAGTATTGCAAATTAATTTTATTGTTAAACAATAATTTCTAGGCTACCATTTTCTAATCGTACGTGATGTTCCAGATAAATAAATAAATGGACTAGATTGCAAAATTGTTTATTACTGTGTTTTAACAATTTATTTTATGTACCTAATTAAATATTAAATGTCTAAGAACTGTATTATAACCATTTTGGTGACAAGGCATTAGGCAGTTGAATCGCTAAGATTGATATTTGTTGAGATATAAAGCTTTTACGTTAACATTTTATGAAATTTTTAGGATTTTCGTTCCAAACTTTTTATTAATGATGATTTTCAATTGTTTATCAGTACAATTTCATCTAATAACGTTTTTTTACAGTCGGGTGATTAGAGAAAAATAAATAACTCAAACAATCAAGCTTAATTATTAATAACATAACTTTAAAGAGAAAAGATATATCTAACCTAAACATTGATAAAACGAGGTACCTCGTTTTATCAATACACGTGTATGTTATTTTATTAATAATTATGCTTGATTGTTTTAGTTATTAAAACGTAATTACATGAAATTGTACTAATAAACAATTGAAAATCATCATTTATAAAAAGTTTGGTACGAAAATCCTGAAAATTTCATAAAATGTCAATGTAAACGCTTTATATCTCAACAAATATCAATCTTAACGATTCAACTGATAAGACCTTTTTTAAAGAAAATTTTCTACAAGTTTGCCATTTACATTTTTTTAAAGAATACAGTCACTTTTGAAATATCTACAAAAATATGAGAATTTTTCACTAAAATAAGGTTTAGTGACCCTTACCATCCAACAGGTGCAGATTATAGCTATGGCACATAAAGCATTTTTGTAGAACTTTTGATTACGAGTAAATCCCTTTTCGAAACAATCCAATAGCATATAATGCGATTGAGATATAAATATTTTAAAAAAATAATCAAAGTTGACGTGTATTTTAAATGGGAAATTTTTATAAGCTTTGGTAGTGTACTTTGAGTTAATATTAAAGGCTCAAATTTTCAGGGAATTTTTTTTGAACATTTTTAACAAGATTTTGAGTTGGGAGCGAAAAAATAAAAATAGTCTTGAAAAAAAAGCACCCTAATATATATATATATTTATATATATATATATATATATATTATACCTAAGAGTCAATATATTTTGCATGTAAAAATTGATTCGCAAAACATGCTTTTTCGAGCTACTGCCCGCGGCTGACTTTTCCCTTCATTGCTATTCACCGAGTAGACTCGCTCTTGTGCCACAAAAATACACGGTAATGTTGCAATTTCGATTCGTTTTATGTCTAGGTAGGCCTCGCCTGCAGTCTCCACACCTTTATCTGTTCAAAACACTTGTTGCATGGGCACCTATATCTCCCACCAAAGCGTACATTTATCACTTTTTTATTTTTGCGAAATATTGAAAATTGTTTTAACTGATTCACTTTCTCCTTTAAAATTGAGTGAGGATTTCAAAAAAGATCGTTCATTGTATCTATAGATACTTTTCATATTATGCTTATTTACATCACATATAGGAGACATAAACTTGGTATTGCCAAAGATTTTTTTTATTGTGAAAACGTTTACATGAATGTAGGAAATGGTTAATGATGATTTCGCACTTGGTTAGTAAATAATAAATCAAATTGTAACCGTTCGACAAGAGAAAGTCCAAATACCTGAAGAAAAGTCGTTGAACCTAATAAATGGCATTTATCACATGTTTCGTGAATTTCAATTTCATAAAAGCCTTTGAGATAATTTTGGGCATGATAATATAGGTACTGCCCAAAGAGCCATATCAGGTTAAAACTTGGCCAAGAATTGCCACCTTTAAAAAAGTTTTGCCAATATATGTACAATATAGGAATATATTCCTATGGTTTAAAACCATGGGTTTTTGTGCAATCGCGATGGCCAACAATAAATGATCAAATTGTGCAAATATGCAAAAGCAGTTTGGATTAAGTTAGGTAGGTTACACTGTTAAAAATTTCTATTGTAATTTTACTAAACATTTTTACAAAGTTTTTACGCACCACAAAATAGGTAGTAATAATAAAACCCAGTTTTGTAAATTCACTACACGATTCATTACAACTCAATTTGGGTAAATTACAAAACGTTTGTTGAAATTTACTAAGCATTTATTAAAAATGTGTTCAGTAACATTACTTTACAGGTATTGTATTTTGCTAAAAAAATACTAAATATGTTTACTAATTTTAAAATGGTGTATTGTAATTATACTAGGTATACCTACAATTCATTTCAACTCAGTTTAAGAAAATTCGTTTCGCAATATTACAATACAAATATTGTTATTTTGTACAATAAATTAGACTAAAAATATTTAGTAATTTACGAATGATGGTATTGTAAGTATTCTACGAAAAAAACCTGCAATTTTCTTAGTTTATTCAAGAAACTTTCTTGAACCATTACTGCAAAGATTAAAGAAAAATTGAACCTTCACCTCACCAGAGTTTTTGTTTTGAGTGGGTTCCACCAACTTCAAATACCGACAGACAGCTAGACAGATAGAACTATTTATCAAAGTCGGGCAACTTGGTGTATTGGAACACACCAAAAACGAAAGACATCTGAGCATACTGTCCACCTAAGTTAACTGAGGCGAGATGTAAGAACATCACGTGATTGCCGCAATCGGTACATACTATGCATTTTACATAACCTTAGGTATATAAAATCAAATTGTAAACAACATTTGTAATTCTGAGATGCTTTTTATTAGAAATTGTCAAAAATTAAATTAAAATGTGTTTTTACAAAAAAATTTAACAGTGTACATTTATGAGGCCCCATATGTTCCATAATTGAGGAGCATCCATGCAAAACCGGCTATATCCACTTTAATAAAATGTTGGGAAAATGGAAAAAACTCTTGGTTTCCTGGCCTTTACAGATAACAAAAAAAGCAAACTTGAGTTTTGCACAAAAAACAATATATAAGTAAAATTTGGTCAAACTTAATAAAAATACAATTTATATGTCCAAATTCTTTCCCAGATCATGTTTTTTTGGTTGAAGAAGTCTTTCTACTTTACATAACAAATTCGTTAAACCCGCTAATTTTAAAATAATCTTATGTTAATTTCACTTTTACGCACAATACTACTCATGATTAATAAACTGATTAATGTACAATCTCGTGTACCTACTACAGACATACGCTAATTAGACGCATATAATTTACATTTAGATTACTGGAGCAAATTATGCAGTCTCTAAGACAATCTTCATTATTTTTTTTCAAGGTCGCCATTTCGTCTACCATTGTCTTACTTCCTAGTAAACAAGCTGTTAATATGCCATAATCCTTGCTTGTGAATTGAATTTTTTTAATTTATTTTCCTCATTTTTTAGATGTCCGGACAATTTACTCCAGTTTTTGCTATCCCGCCTATGATGCAACCACAAATGGTGAGGTACCCCTTGATACCGGCGCCTTTGGGACAAATACCATCACCCATAATACCACCACCAGGGGTAATATTTAATCATTATTATCTTCCAAACGAACAAACTTATTTTTTTACAGTACCTACAGTACAAAGTTCAACGCAATTACAAGAAGAAGCCGCGTCCAAGACAGCGCGAAGGGACCCCCAAACGCTCCAGATCCAAGTCCAGGTCGAAATCCAGAGAACGCCAGATAACGGAGTTGGACGTGGCTAGGACTTACACTGGACTTGACAGGACTATTGCGGAAGAATTCATCGATATTTTGGACTCGAAAAACGTCAGCACTTGTAGCGATTATAGCTGCACCAGCAGCAGTGGTAGCAGCCATCAAAGTCCCATTAATGATTGTAACACTAATAGTGATGCCGCGTCCAATGATTTTTTGGTCAATAATAAGGTTTAAGAAAAATATTAAAATTTATTAAATAATTCTTTAAAATAAAAAATATTAGGTATTACTAAAAAAGTTGTAAATAATGTATAAAGAGACTGTTTCTAACTAACGTTAAGTATAGGGTGCACCAATACAATTTAACATGGTTAGATAGAAAAAAATCATGATAATGTTACCCTATATACAGGTTGTTCCAAAAGTCGCAGGAATGTCACCTTCATTATTGAAGAAGATACAGACTGCAGTCTACATGTAGATTATACACTTTCAAGGTTTTGCGCGATTTGGAACGTCCTGTATTTATGAAATGTTGAAAAAAATTAGTACTTATTTTATGTATTTGGTACTAGCTAACATAGTTTATAAAATTGTGACTTATATATGTGTATATAAATATTATGAAATAAATCTAAGTCTAAGATTCTATAATTTTTACAGGGCGGCTTGTGGTTAATTTTTGTCTAAATACGAATAAATTTCACCATATAAAAAAGTTGTTAAATAACTGACTACGGCCCAGGAGAGACAAAGTATTCGTAGCGGATAATAATCTTCGCTTTGAAAATAATTTATATAAAAAATTAAAATTTTATGTGAACACACATGAATGTTGTCCAATCATTATTAAAGCCACTAGACGTTAATACTTGTATTGGCTTAATAATAATTATAATGTATACATTGTCCAGGACTGTTAATGCAAATTGAAAGAAGAAAAAGTTTCGTGATTATTGCTTATCTTTTTCAAACCAAATGGATGCTATTTTCAAAGACAGGAAAATAAACTACTAGATTTTTCACAAAAAGGTTGAACCTAACAGTAAATAATTTTTATTTTTTTTATTTCCCCCTTATTTTTTAAAATTTCAAAAATTGTTTATCTGCTATCCGCTAATTAGCTGAAAATAATGTGTGATTTATAAAACCAAAAACTTTACTTTTTTACTGCAAAAATGTCCATAAGGCGATGTACTTTTTCTGTCATTGAGGCATTTGGGATAACTTCATCGAAATGAAGTTTTGCCCTTAAAAGTTCTTTTACTTTAGAATCTGATTGGCATAGTTATATTTTTATATCGATAATATATAATAATTAAAAAGTTTCAGAATATTTCATTAAGGTCTTCAGCAGAAGTACAATTTTTTAAATACAAAAATACTAAATCACACTGGCATGAGCTACCAACTCAATAAAAAAACACGAGTCCAAATAAAAAAAATTAACTGAAGGTTTCGTACCAAGATATTTGAAAAGTTTGTAAATATTGCTTACCCTACTTACCGTTATCGTTAAATAATGATGAAATTTTCGGCATTGGACAACTGTATCTGTCTTTTATCAGTTTCGTTTCTTCTTATAAAAGGCGTTTTAATTATTACGAGAATAATGTCATGAACAGGATTCATTAAAAAAAAACACAAATATTTAACTAAAGCTTTAGTTTACGGTATTTTAAAAATCTAACCAGCGTGTATGTACAATAGGGTGTCCCTTATTTTTATTTTTTTTACGCATACCCTCTAATAATATTTATTACGTGTTTATATACTCCCAGTAAAAATTTCAGCTCATTCTATAAACGTGCCGACTTGCATCTGAACCCTCCGTTAGCCAACGTTAGGCGCGCGGAATTTTGTAACACGGTTGGTCGCGAGGTCTTCGATCGTAAGTCATTTTGTGTTTGTTATTATGTGACCCTTATATAATAAATTATTGACAAATGTAAAAATATAATTTTATTGATAAAAATGTATATTTTCACAGGGAGTGGCTAGTTACCCGGAAGGGTCTGGTGAATAGGCCGTAAACTCTGAAATTGATAAACTTAATGGGTTTTACTCTAAATAACTAAAAAATTCTATTGTGAGAGATGACTACCGAAAACTTATTGAACTGTCTGAAATATTTTTGGGAGGACATCAAGAAAAGAAATGCTTATAAAAAGCTGAAATTTCATATAACAGTATATTTTAGCAATATTAATTAGTATATTAATATATTTAGGGGATAAAATCAACTAAATTAGTGAAACAAATGATAAAAACAAAAGCAATAATATTAATTAGTAATCATATTTAATAAAATCATTAGAAATATACAGTCATAAAGTATATCTTCTTTTTAAAGTGTTTCGTGTTACAAAATACCGCGCGCGCCTAACGTTGGCTAACGGAGGGTTTAGATGCAAGTCGGCACGGGTTCCCGTTTATAGAATGAGCTGAAATTTTTACTGGGAGTATATAAACAAGTAATAAATATAATTAGAGGGTATGCGTAAAAAAAATAAAAATAAGGGACACCCTAATGTACAATAATAAAATAATGAATTTTACTAATCGATACAAAAACTAAAATATCAGAGAAAATAATTGCATGTGAATAAAAACAAAAGCTCAAATGCTCTCGCCTCAAGCAGCAACAAATAGAGACGCCTGATATATTAGTAGGTAAATATAAATTAAAGTAAAACATATATTTTATTTCTTACATTCTTACATTTCTTAGGTAAATAAAAATTATATTGACTATACAATTTTGTACGTATATTATAGTTTTTAATTTTATATCATAAAAAATATATATAATATTATTATCATCTGTTTTTAGGGATTTTTTAATATTTTTGCCCCGTCACTAGCTTGGCAAACATAAAATGTTGCTTTTCCTTGATAGTTATTTTTGATGTTGTCTATTACATTTTTGACTGCGTATTTTTGAACCTTGAAGGAAAAAATTATCAAAAATTGGCAACACTGAATGCAAAAACTTACCAATGTCACTGTACACCCCCCGAAGCCCCCTCCTGTCATACGGCTGCCCAACACCCCCTCCACTTGCATGGCCAACTCAACTAACTGATCAACTTCCGGACATGAAACGTCAAAATCATCTCTCAGAGAGTTATGACTTTCCACCATGAGTCTGCCAAATTTGCGATAATTTCTTTCGTTTAAAGCCTCAGCTCCGTCCATTGTCCTCTGAATTTCCGTTACAACGTGTCTGGCTCGTTTGACTATGTCGTTATCAGTGTTTATGGAAGTTAGGTCTAAAAATACAGCACTTTGAGTTATGTTGATCAAATGAGCGTTGAAGGTTACCATGATCACTTACACTCAATGTCCTTCAGGTTGGCATCCCTCAAGCTAATTTTTTTTATCAGCAGGGCGGCCTCCTGACATTGCTTTCTTCTTGTGGGGTATTCACTTCCGGTTAGTTCGTGTTTCACGTTCGAATTCGTCACCAGAATGACCATTTCCGGTTCGGATAGAGGTACCAATGTTGAAGTCAGATTTCTAGAAGAATATATATATATATATATATATACGTTGGTACATTTGGCGTTTTCAACTTAAAAAATATATAATCTTAGAAACATGTTTTTTTAAATAGTGATATTATTACACAATTAATTGTATACAATTAATATACGATACACAGAGACTATAGTCTCTGTGTATCGTCTCTTAAGAGACGATACACAGAGACTACCAACTGCATGGAAACCACCAAATGCCACGCAAATAAACGAGATCAATGTTCTGCTTTAGGTTTCCACGGGCGTTAAGCCGCATTGATGGTTTTGCGGAATCTGCTCTGTGTTGTCGGTTTTTGGTTCTTAAAAGATTTAGGTTTTCAGGCAGCATCAGCAGCCCAGCAGATAAGACCTGAAGATGGTACATCCCAGGTAGCACACTGACGTCTGCTGACGTTTAACTGACGTTGAAATGACGTCAGAAGACGTCATTTAAACGTCAGCAGACGTCAGTATGCTACCTGGGATGAGATTGTACCGAAACGTCGTCAGACATACGGTTCTTTTAAGAACCAAAAACCGACAACACGGAGCAGATCGTATATATATATATAGCGAATTGCTGTGGTCATTTTCACTAGAACACATATTAAGTTTACTGTTGCGCATTAATTTATAAAAAAAATACATTCAAGTGTATATCTCCACAACTGCTACATACGCGATTTTAATTTTTCTTGCAAAGTAAAGCTAATAATATAACTATTTAAAAAAAAATTGAAAGATTATATATTTTTTAAGTTGAAAACGCCAAATGTACCAACGTGATATACATTCTATATGTTCACAAAAACATCCCTTAAATTTGCTGTATGTATACCTGCAATCTATTAATAGGGCATTATCCTTTTTTCCCAAAGCTGAGATAAATTGATCCATGATTCCGCATGGCATGCCAGCATAATCATGCTCAGCTTTTTGGCATGCTAAAGCTTTATCGGTAGGCCTACAAAAATACAACTTCAGCATTGGTCATATTGTTGATTGATTCAATTGATTGAACAAACAACTCACATTATTGTATTTGGTTCTGTAATAGCGTCCAAAAATGTGTAAGTTGCAACTTCCAGGGCAGCACTACTTGACAATCCGCCCCCTGTCGGGACACTGGTATGTATAACAGCTCTAAATGCTGGGGGTAAGCTTCCCAAATAGTTTGCAATCACACCTGAACAGATTTTAAAATAGTTTATTAAAGAACATTGTATAATGTATACACTGAGAGAAAAAATGTTGTTGAATCATTCAAAACGATAATAATTCAAAGGGATTCAAATATGTTTTGGCGTCATTGGTGTGTCCCATTAAATTAATAGGTGTATAACAATTTTATAATACATATCTTTTTGAAACAACGTTGAGAAAGGCAATGAAATAAATAGATTTCTTTTTGAATATATATTTTAAAGAGGGTATACTTTAAAAGTGTTTAAATGTATTGTAAAACTGTTGGTAAATGAATATAAAACTACAAATTTTTCTATTTGAATCAAATTTACCCGATTATTTAAATTAATATAATTTTATATGCTTTTCATGGCATGATATTTCTCTGAGTGTAGGTAAAACCGTTGAGAACTTTAAAGATAAAATCTCTTACCTTTCACATAATTTGCCCATTTGGGCATTCCCCTGGGAATTATCCTGACAAGTGAATTTTTATTTGGCATCTCGATAGTAGTCCTATGTGGCAAATCAGCATGTTTATTTGTTGTTACGATCGTGGTTTGTTCACCTTCAATTACTTTTCCAACAATAACTGTGACCAGGGGAAGTGCCTGGCAAAATAGTTAAATTTTACAATCAAGAAATTTATTTAATAGTATGGAGAATATTCTAAACCTAATTGGAAGAGATTTTACTGTCAAACAATCAAATTTTTCTATACACTTTGGTAAAAGTGAATGTACTTCCCAGATAGCACATACATCTTAAAGATATCTTAAATATGTCGGACTCGGACGTTTATGACATCTTTAAAACGTCCAGTTTACGACGTAAGTCATCTTTAAGACGTCTTTAAGAATCTTCCCATACAGCTCAAAGTCGTCCATATGGTGTCCATAGGACATTAATGTCATCTCTATACAAATGGATATCCATAGTATCCAAGAATATTATATGGACGTTCCATGTACGTACATATAACGTAAGTAACTTTGGCACACTATTATAATAGGATGTCCATGTTATGTAATAAATGTACATTGTACAATGTACGTTGGAAGTGGACTTCCATATGATGTCAAAATGAGCCTAGGAACGAAAATTGTTAAAAAATGTTGGTTTACTTAATTAAGTTTTATTTTATATTTAACACTAAACAAATATAACACAAATATAAAAATATTGGTGTATAACATTTTGAAATAATCCAATGACATTGCCTTTAATAATAATATGTCACAACTACCATGATACAATTTTGTGTTTTTATTATGAATGAACAATTGAGGAGCATCCGTGCAAAACCGGCTAAATCCATTTTATTCAGTTAATTTCGCATCTTTGGGATCATTTCTATTGACAACCAAGAGAATTCTGTTTAAATCCGACTATAGAATCGTATTCTCAAAATTAGACGTAAGTCAAAGAATCCACTATTGCTCATTTTTTTGACTAAAATAACGACAATTTTCGATAAATTGGCATATAATTGTAGTAAGCTGCGATATTCACAAAATCTCGAAAACGTTTCGAGGGATTACCTTACTAATTTTAGGGAGGGGTATTACGACTATCAAACTCAACTGCCTCAAGAATGGGAATGTAGTAAACCGGACCTGGGTCAATGTTCAATTAAGGAGCTAATTAAGCAATACAAATATCTTTGAAATAGTTTATGTGCAGACATTAATACCTAAGTAAAATTGGGAAATAATAAATCAACAGTTAATATAAACAGTGCCCATGTTTAGTGGAAATGCAAATAGTACCGAGCAATAAATAAATCAAAATTTATGGGTTCCTCGATGGAAAATAGGTCACATAATAATTCTTAGAATATTTCAGGGTCTTTAATTTGATTCGTTAATTAAAATCAGGCCACTCTTTCTTATTGGGCAATCATATAAGATTGACAAATTTTCATTGGTTTGACTTCCGTAGTTTTCATATAAAAAACGGAATTTTTCGAGAGTTCTTCCTGATTCAAACAAAACGGTTCGGTCGCGAAAGCACACTTTAACATCTTCGTGTTGCAAGTTCGGATTTTAAGTTTAAATTTATAAAAAACAGTAGTGTGAAGTTTATTAGTTTTCTGTGCACATATAGGAACAGTTCCACTAGTACTACAGGCAAACCCAAACGTTAAGTCTTTATTATTTTTTTTATTCTATGGGGAAACTTATAAAAGAAAAACTAATAATAATAATTTTTTATCTTTAATTAATTTTATCTTTTATTTTGTTATTAGTTATTAGAAATAACTTTTATTTTGTATTTTAAATTTCTTTTGTAAGTTAAATTTGTTAATTATCACTTCCCAGATAGCACAAGTACGTTCGTAGGACGTTCGTAGGACTTCCACCCAGGACAACCCGAACGTCCTCAGGATGTCCGGGGTCTGCAAAAGTACGTTCGTAGTACGTCCACAGACTTCCGAAATAGACTGTTTCAGATGTCCTCAGGACGTCCGTATTTGACCCCAAGCTGTCCAATTCGGGACATATGAGGACCGAATTAGGACATAGTTTTATTATAATAGGGAAATGTCATACAGTGTTAACAAGTGTTTTGTTAATATATATATATATATATATATATATATACAGGGTGTCAATCAAGGAGGTCAATCCGTTAACCATATATTCCTTAAGTTAAAACAATAAACCTTTCATAATACTATTTTTATTTATTTCTCCATTGAATTTCACATACCTTCATATCTCTAAATTATTTAAAAATATCAAGTGAAAACTTAAATTTTGTATGGGTTTTTCCATATAATAAAAATTGTTTTTCACTTATATCATATATTTAAATACCTACATAGAAATTTAACTAAAAACACCACACGCTGTTTTATGAACAATGCCAACATGGCGGATTTCAGACTGTCAACTTAAAGTCACTAAACTGGTTACTTTCAATACCAACTGTTTATTTGGCGGTAAATTTGAAATAAACTCTTACAATTTATTGCATTATAGTTATTTATGTATTAAGGGCATAATAAGGTTTTTATGGTCCGAGGCGCTATTTCGAGCCCGAGCGCGTTAGCGCGAGGGCTAGAAAAGCGTCGTAGGACCATAAAAACCAGTTATGCCAGCAATGCATACAAAACTTTATGCACGATTAATATATTATTATTTTTAATATATTATTGTTTTTTAAGACGTTTACGTCAAAGAATTTTTGTTATAATTGTCATATTATAATGTCAACTGACATCAGTCAGTTTTAAAGTTTAAAGATGAATGAAATTGAGGAAGCAGCTGAAAAGGCAAAAAATTGCGGCCTGCTGCCGGAAAAATCAAAATCTTTATACGAAAAAACTTACTTCGAATATATCAAATGGTGTAACATTGTTGTTTTTAATTTTTGACGTTTCATTATAGCCCGCTGGGTCATAATAACGCCCGCGGGCTATAAAAAGACGTTTACGTCAAAGAATTTTTGTTATAATTGTCATATTATAATGTCATCGTGCATAAAAAATATTATAGGACAAATTAAATAATTTAAATGTTAAAGTGGAGAAATTTCTCCAATGGTATTTTTAATTCGTATTATACATTTCTCATATAATATTATTAATTCAAATTATTAATTTGGCCAATGTGATATTTTTTATTCAACAAATTAAAAATATAATATACCTAATATATATAATATAATTAAAAATAATTTTTTTAAATTTGTAATGATATTTTTAATGCAATGAATTAATTAATTTTACTAGATATTTTTAAATAAGTTAGAGATATGGAAAATTGCAATTGCTAAAAATACTTGACAACTAAAGACACAATTCCACTTAAGTGGATAAAGGGTCTATCTATAGACATATAAAGCTGGGTACAGACCAAAAACAAAGAGTTCGCGAGCTGCTCGTGAACAGCTTCCAAATTGAACCCGAGCAGCTCGCGAACGTGCCGTCCACACTAGAAAAGTTTGCACGTGAACAGTTTCGGTGAGCAAGTTCGTCCGAGTTCGTCGAGGGTTCCAAATTCAAATTTAAACATTTAAATAAAAATAATGTCATCGCTGCAAAGCGATAAAGAAAGCGATCTAATAATTGCTTGTGCGGCCTATTTTTTAGTAAAATCAAATGTTGAGTCAAAAAAACAGAAAGACCAGGCGATATTCTTCGATTAACCAAACAATATCGTCCTCTGACCAGTCCATGTTTAAAATAGCTTTTTATTTATTTAGGTAAATTATAATGTATACGTTGTTAAAAACTTATACTGTCCAGCATAAACTAAATAAATAAATGCCAAACCACAGAGGTTCTACTCTGGAACGTCCACATACATACTAAGCTCGTCACGTGTTCGCGAACAAACCCTTTGAAGTTACCGACTCGACCCGGAACTTGAACGAACAGCCGAGCTGTTCTAGAACTGTTCGCGAACTCGCGTACACACTAAGCTCGGAAAAGTGTTCGCGAACTATTCGCGAACAGCTCGCGAACTTGGTCTGTACCCTGCTTAAGTGAAAAAAAATTGACAACTTTTTTTTTAAATCTTTTATCGTGCTTGATTAAGGAGTATTTTTAATAAAAAACAAGGTGTAATTTTTTTTCACTTAGACCCGGGTCGCGACCAGAAAACCGATGGACGTCCTAAGGCCTAGGCCGATGGACATCCTGAGTACGTCCATCGGTTTTTTGCCTGCGACAATAGTTGAAGATACAAATTGATATATCACCTTTTATAAAGGCCTTTATAAAGGGTGATATATCAACTTGTATCTTCAACTATTGTCGCAGGCAAAAAACCGATGGACGTACTCAGGATGTCCATCGGTCTAGGCCTTAGGACGTCCATAGGCCTAGGCCTCAGGACGTCCATCGGTTTTCTGGTCGCGACCGTCTGTAAAGGATTTAAACCGGATGTCCTCAGGACATCTTGTGCTATCTGGGTATCAGGGCTACGAAACTTACGCTCCGAGGAACGCTTATCATTTTATTTATATTATATTTCCCTTACTTTGAGGGTGGTGGCAGCTCTATCATTATTTAAGTGGTGAAGAGTGGATTGTTACAGGAATAACTTGAAATTTCGGAAAAAATACATCTCTTCGTTTAACACCCTGTAGTATAATGCTATGTGCAAAATATCGTATTCCCAAAATTAGACATAAGAGTCAAAGAATCAGGTAGGTATTCAGAATTTCCAAAGAGCTTTCAAATATTTTCCAAAAAACTAGGTGCGTCGATTTTTATGACGAGCAGTTTAGTTCGGACCGTATAATGCTATGTGCACAATATCGTATTCTCAAAATTAGACGTAAGTCAAAGAATCCACTATTGCTCATTTTTTGGACTAAACTGGGAAAACGAAATTTTCGATAAATTGGCATATAATCGTAGTAAGCCGCGATATTCACAAAATCTTCAGAACGTTTCGAGGGATTACCTTACTAATATTAGGGAGGGGTATTACGACTATTAAACTCAACTGCCTCATGAATGGGAATAACTTGAAATTTCGGAAAAAATACATCTCTTCGTTTAACACCCTGTAGTATAATGCTATGTGCAAAATATCGTATTCCCAAAATTAGACATAAGAGTCAAAGAACCAGCTATTTAGAATTTGCAAAGATTTTCAAAACCGATTCAGTAATTTTCCAATAACGAGCTTTCAAATATTTTTCAAAAAACTAGGTGCGTCGATTTTTATGACGAGCAGTTTAGTTCGGGATTAGCACTGCGAAAAAACCTATTGAATCAATCTCAAAATTCCCGCCCCCCAGATTTCAAATCTTGCTAACTCGCAGGATCTGTCGAAACGTCAAAACGCTTTTCCCGCCAAATCAAATGGACCAATGAAAACATTTTTCGCATTTCGCATCTATATGAAACCGCTTTATTATAGTTACTATATAGTAAATTAATTTAACCAAAATGCCATGGTTTGCAAACAAAACAATTTTAACATTTAACAACAAATAAATCATTTGTTATTTTTTAAGTGTAGTTACCCATCATCGTTGTCAAAACTTAAAATCTTACATTAATGTTGTTTCTATTACACCAAAATAAGATGGTACCTAATTATATATATAAGATAGTAAGATAGTAAGATAGTAAGATATCTTACTATGAAGTGGCTAATTATGGGATAAAATTTCGATTTTGACCTGTCAAAATTTACTATTTTTATCAAAAAATATATACTTAGATATCTTTAAGACGTCTATCAAAAGACGTATTTTTAAATCTCCAGACGTTCAGGCGTAATATAGACATACAAAAGACATCTTCAAGACTTTGTGTGCTATCTGGGTTGGGAATGGGAATTAAATCAAATACTATAGTATAGTACTATTGTGTCCCTATTAATTAAAAAAATATTAATTTTTATTAATCTTAAAGATAAAATAGTCAATAAAAAACATTGCTACAAAAAATCCTAAAAATATAATTTAATAACAAAGAAAGTAGCGATACCTCTCACCGCTGCTTACGCACACTCGCTAACTATAAATACTAGTAGACAACAAATATTCAGATATCTTAAGATATCAAATATAAATATTTTAACTCTCGATCAAGATACCTATCTATTATCTAATAGGAAGATTAAGCTATTGTATTTCAGTAAATTTTATTAAAATCGATACAAAATTGTTATATACCTAATTAGTATAATTTAAGATTATTATCGCAAAAATATGACATTCCCAAATTACCTAACCTTCAACATGATTTAAATCCAATAAAATAAATCTGTTAAAAATATGACCAAAATTTATTATATTATACTTAATTATGAATTATGCAACAAAAAAAGTAAATTTGACCATAAAATTTTTAGTTTTAGATTATTCTAAAGTTATTAATACAACATAGGTATTTATATTAAGAATCAACTAACTTTAAATATTAAAGTGCACTCACCATGGGCATTACAAACCCCTCATTATAATCGGTATGTTCTCCAATCAGATTAACTCTTCCTGGAGCGAACACTTGAACATCAGGTGCTTCACCAAACTCTTTTTCGTACACATCTACTGCAAAACTCACTACTTCTTCAACACCCGGTATAATTTCAGCCATCTTACAACACAAATATATATATATAAATATATTGAAAACCACAAAAGTTGTTCTTAATTAAACCACATACATCAATTTGTATGCACTGCGATATTAATATGTTCACTTAAGCACTTGTTATAAAAGTATACATTATTGTTATCTTCGTATCATATACGGTGGTAGCCAATAGTATAGAAACTTTCCTAATTGTCTGTTTTGTCCACAATGGACTCCACATTTCTTCTTAATATGTCTTAGACTTTAGACAAAACCCGTTAACTGCATTTTGATTAAAACTGAGAGAGAACAGTTTTTACTACTTGAAAATACTTCGTAAAGAGCATATAGGTACCTATAGGTATATGGTAAAGAGCATAATGTTAGTTAATTAATTCTTTTTTCTCGAAAATGATTTTAAATATAGTTAGTCTTTCAGATATTTGTGTCGCTTTGATAAAAAACTTATAGTTATAAAACATGCAAAATAAACATTTTCAATAAAGTTTATTAAAAGGCCGATAATTTTGGGCAGCACCGTATATGATTATCTGTCAATGTTTAGTTTTGATGTGTGCAGTGTAATGTGATAAAAATGATGGTCTGACTTCTTATCGTTATTTTAAAGTTATAAGGGAAGATAACAATGTCAGTTAGTGACCCTTTATTAAAAGACCTAAAAGGTAAATAAACAATTTTTAACGTATTTAGAGGTTATGTTTACAATTTTTGGTTAAACGTCAATAGAACAATTCCAAACACTACGGTAGTGTCACTACCTACTAAAGCATTACTAACCTTGGTTTAGTAGTCTACTAAACCAAGTTACTAACCATTTAATTTGATCCTTATTTATTAAATAGAAAAACTTAAAAATAAAATATTTTCTACAATAAACATAGCCATAGTTATTTACAAGTTTATCTAAAGTCACTTTTGATAACATTAATTTTATATTATTAAACGTACAAATTATTGTAAATATGAACTTGAGTTTTTCGATAACAATCCCAACGTTTTTCTTTTAAAAAAAATATATTGCATGTTTGTGTTATCTGGGTTGCATATGTACAGGGGCTGATGTAGTAGAGATCAATACTGCTAAAGGTGTTAGGTTTGTTCCAAATTGACGTCAATTTGACAGCCCAAATGCTCGATTGGGACAAGCATAATATGCTTGTCCAAGCATAATATTCTTGTCCCAATTGAGCATTTGGGCTGTCAAATTGACGTCAATTTGGAACAAACCTATTATATATATTATATCTCTAGATCCTATAAAATTATAGTTCGTTTTTTTATTCGCAATTTGACACATTTGATTATGTTCGTATAATACGAATCGTATTGTATGTTGATATACTTTGGTATTTTTAATATTTAAAATTAGTATTCCTGTTCAGGCCCTTTATTTTAAATACTAGGGTTTACTTTAACTTTAGATTTAAAATAAATAAAATCGACTCTGTTAAAATTTCAAAATCGCACACTAAATTTTAGACTTCTTTTAGGATGTGTTTTGGATTTAATAAAAGACAAATCTACCCAAGGCAAAATATCTGACGAAAACGAAAATATATCAAAATTGTATGTAACCCTAGAAAAAATCTTCAATTTTGGTCTTATAAAACAGCAAAACACCCTGTATTTAAACAGGACAATAGACCCCTACTGCTGGTTGAGCAGCTGCATTAAAGAAAAAAGTGATATTATAACGTACACCTATATAAATTGTGTGGAAAGAGTGAAAGACAGAGGCGGACTAAGAAACAATCTTGCCAAATTAAGATTTTTAATAAAAGTTTGTCTTGTAAAAAAGTGCCTTCATGTACCCTTGGAATTTTTGGTATTGTATTTTTTTGTAATAAATTATTATGGTTTAATTTTTTTTGTTTTTTTTGTTCCTTGTGTCTTTTTTATTTTGCCGACTAATAAAATTTATATCTTTTAAGTATCTTGATAAAAAAAATTCGAAGGTTAGCTTCAAGCAGTACAAAAAAATAAAAGTCTTAGTTCTATAATATACATATATATATTTTTTAGCTTCGTACCAATAAAAGTCAACTATTCTACTTTGGAAACTCCATTATTGGGGATGAAATACTATCGGAAATATTTTTTTCGGTTTTATTACAAATAGGGAAAATTTATTTCAATCTGGATTTGGAAAATGTGTCATTTCTGGACTTAACATTGGAAGTGCCAAAATTATTGAGTTTGGAATTAGTACCTTGCCGAACGCTCGGTCTAAGTGTGAGGTAATATTTATATTAAAAGATCATCATGAGTATTATTTTCGTCATTTTTTTAGTTTTTGTTCTGATAGAGCTGTTATAGTGGATATCAACTCTTCCGGTGTTGCAGCTGAGACAGTGAGTTGTAGTAGGGCACAAATCACTCAACGATTCCACATATAATTTATTTTAAGGAACTAATAAAAATTGGCGACGTCCTGGATAAATTAAACGGAAAACACGTTACAGCATCTTCAAAAGGAAAGCTCAATTCCATATTGAGAACCACAAGGACTCAACCAGTGCATTTGACAATCATCAAGGCATATCATGAAGAGAAAAACGAGTTTTTTCATCCTATAAGACAATTTTTAAAGGAGTTAAAAATTGATGAGGAGAGAGTCAGGCTTCAGTATCGACCTAGCGCGAAAGAAGAGGAGAATGAGGTTAAAAAAAGGTAAAAAAGGGTTATATTTCATTCTTTTTTTCAATTGACCGTTTTTAGTTATGGGTCTGAAGTATTGTACCTAGGTTTCATCCCTGTAGGTGAGGATGGAAGTGTTAAGCAAATGGACACTGCAATAAAAGCTTTTCTAGCCAATAAACCTCATCAAGAAAACGAAGAAGCAATATTACCAACGCGACTAAACAAAAAGGTTTTGTTTGAAATCGGAGAAATCGGTGTCAGATTAAGAGACATGGAAGCACAAACAGTAAGTTGGTTGTTTCTGGTCCGCTTCCGCATCCACTTCCGCATAAGCATCCACTTCCGCATCCGCATTCACTTCTGTATCTGAATTCACTTCCGCATCCGCTTCTGCTTCCGCAAAACTGCTTATTACCTTAAAACGAAAACTAGCTTATCTTTATTTTTAATATCAATATAATTAATTAAATAACTTGCTTTTAGCTTTTTAGACAACACACTTACATGGCAATATCGGCCTGCGGAGTGGCAAACTCCTTAAAAAACAATTTTGGATACATCACAAGGTAATTATTGATTTTTTTCCAGCACCCAATACCGTTTGTTTGTATTTTTAGTTCTAAAAATGAAGTCTGTGATCAAGCACGAAATTTTGTGTGTCACGTTTTTTATTCGGACAATTTGGAGGAAATAAACACCATATTACAGAGCATAGGTAGGACAATTGAAAAAATTAATGAATTTTTATACAGTTTGAAAATTACTTTTGCTAGTGCGCTCACAATCCACACAACAAGGTCTGTTTTATCTCGTTTTGTGCATACTAAAAATCACAATGACTAACGGCGGTCATTTTTATGTTGTTTATAATCCTTGTACTTCGGGTTTGTGCTGTTTAGAAAGTTTAAAAATCGTTTTAAACGTTGTTGTGTTTTTTTTTTAATTAATTTTTAAACAAAGTTTTTTCATACTTTTTTAACCTTCTGAAGGTACTTCGACCACTTTTAAAAAGTAAGAAAAAAACATGATTTTTTTTAACAAGGTTTTTTCTTACTTTTTTACCCTTCTACGAAAGTTTCAAATTTTTAAATTAATTTTTAACCTGAGCCCCGACCACTTAAAAAAAGTCCTTAAAAGGTAAGCCTCAAATGAGGCCTTAAAGTGCTAAGGACAACCATTTTACTCCTTTTTTGTAAAAAGAAAACCTTATTCCACAGGGCTGTCATCAAACTGTCAAATGTCAATTTTAAGGTGTATGTACAGTTGTATTCATTAAAAAAGCGTACAAGAATTAGAATGAGAGAAAACTGTCAACATTATTGCGTAAAACCGGCTTTCCACTGACTTAAGTCACTATAACTGACAGTAGAAAATAAAAATGCCTCGTCAGTTAAAAAGGCTCAAATAGTATCAAGAATCGAAGAAGAATGGTCAATTCGTACCGTGGTTTAATAGAAATAAAAAATCTATATTGAAAATTAATATTTTTTGTAATATTATTTAATTAACCTACGACGTCAATGCTCTTTATAACCTATATTAATTATTTTAATGACTTATGTCAGTGATAAGCCGGTTTTAAGCAATAATATTATTTTGACAGTTTTCTCTCATTCTAATTCTTGTACGCTTTTTTATTGAATACAACTGTACCATAACCCACAAACTTATTATAATTCACAAATTTACCACTACCTACCTTATTGTGTGGATTGTAATAGTGCTATTTTCGGGACACCCTGTATACTATAATTTTTTAGGTCAAGGATTTTATAGAACTCATTTTGCGGTATAAAAGGACTTTTATTTGTTGTATTGGTGATATTTAATAAAAAAAATGTAATTAAAGCGTTTCATTTAATGCGATATGAATTTGTTTAAATTTGGCGCTCCAATTATGGATTTTCTTTAAAATGAGTTTGGGGTGATTTCAGATAGATGTCGCACGAAGATGGTAGAAATCTTGTGGGTGAGCGTGTGTTCTGGTAAGTGGCTGATAGATGGCGCGAGTGTATTTTGTTATGATTTTTGATAGATGTCACCAGTTGCGTTATAGATTGTGGACAGTGTTTCGTACTCTGTGTACAACCAAATCTCACGTGTTTACTAATATAGCAGCCTTGCCGACCGAGTTATTATGAAATCAGGCATTCGGGCCGAATAATTCGATAAAAACGGGGCACACAGGTGACTGAAAGTTAGCGTGCAAAGTGTAAAAGTTAAGTTCGATTTGCAAGCTTGGTTAAAGCATGTCTTCGGCGTACTCACGGACGTCCGAGAGCGATGCGTGGGCCCTGCTGGCCCTGAAATCGGCCCCGGCGAGCCCCTCGAACGTGCAATGGAGCCCCGAGGACCAGGGCGAGGCGATAGCCAGGATCGAGGGCCGCGAGTTCGAGTATCTGGTGAGACAGAACCGCGTGGTGATCGGAAGGAACAGTTCACGTGGAGATGTGGACGTTAACATGGGACGTTCGAGTTTTATCTCGCGCAGGCATATCGAGGTGCTCTTCGAGCACCCCTACTTTTACATGCTGTGCAACGGGAAAAACGGGATCTTCGTCGACGGGGTCTTCCAGCGCAAAGGCGCCCCCTCAATTAGACTACCCAGGACGTAAGTTGCAACTAATGTTATGTAAACAACGGTCTAGGACACACGAACACGTGACTAACCTAGTATACCGTCTTTACAAAAAATCAATACCCCCAGGTGGGTATTATACCCACCTGCTAATAATTATCAACGACATTTCAATACCAAGTATTAATTGATTGATTTCCTTCCGGACGAATACTACAACGTTGCAATGCGCTTGTCCCGACCGTACAAACAAAATATAAATATTTTGTGTGTCATCATCGCGCTGATATTTACAAACATTGGACAGGAAATGCGCGCTAAATTCAAACTTGCACAGCGCAGTAAAGTGCTTCGTTTTAGAATTTTTAATTTTTTACTTCCGGTACCTACGAGATTTGTTAAATTTAACCCGAACAATTTTGTTTTCCATTTCAATTTCAATTATAATATTTTTTTAACGTTGTTTAAGGGCAGGTGTTTTTTAACGTTTACGTATACAGGGGCGAATTTTATTTGGTAAACATCGATTGATATGTACTCCTTTAGTAGTGCTCACTGAGTATTTTGATGTGTTTGTTGTGTTTGGAGAATGCTTAAAAATGAATATCATTTAGCCTGTGTTTGTGTCACGGTAATGTTAATATTTGTTTAGTTTTTCTTCGTAGATTTAATCTATGGTTTTATTCGTTCCTGACAGGGACTCACTTCCCTGTACTTGGTTCTGTCAAGTCTGACGTTGAATAAATATAAGTAACGAATTTTACACTTTTTAGTATTGTTTGTTGTCATGATGATAAAGAATTAAACTCCTACTTTATTGGTACGCAATGTTGCAATTTTATAGCATACACCTTTAAGGTGGTGCGCGACTTTAAATTAAAATAAAAAACGTAAAATTACAAATATGCTACAGTAACTCATTGTCTATACAAGCATGATTGAAAGGTGATTAAATTAATTATTTTGTTGATAATTATTTTTTAATTTGTTTTTGAAAGTGTACAAAAGCGTAATTTAAAGAACTTTGATGTTATACAATGAAACTTGAAAAAAAAATTTTAGTACCTATTTTTGTATTAAAATTTGTGGACTGGTTCGAAATGTCAAATGGACGTCAGGGACATGCGCAATATTTTTGTATTGTGCATTAAAAATTTAAGGAAAAAAAACACAATACTTAATTTTTTTTTTGAATAAAAATATACTTTTCTAACTAATAACAAACAATCAAAATCCAAATAAATATTCACCGGTTCAAGGAAAACTATTTTTACTTGTTCTAGATTTACCTACCCACTTTATTACCTATAGGTATATTAAAATACATTTCGTCCAAGTACGAGTAAATAAAATAAACTTTATTTTAAATGATTTATTAATAATTTAAAATTGGTTTTATTTTAAAATATTTACTATAATGTAAACATTATGTCTAAAAATGAATTTGTATATCAACAAAGTCCCCAGATAAAGACAATGTTGTTATTACTAAAATAATCTTTATAAAACAACAATAAATAGATAAAATTTTAACTTATTACGTTATAACACAAACTCAAGTGCTACATTTTACTCATTATTAATTAATTAATAAAATCATAAAAATACTTTTTTTTTATTCAAAACTTATCATAATAAAATTACAGGAGTAAGAAACAAAAACAACACGTTTTTGTTTGTTTATAAATAAACAATTCAATCGTGTTAATTCGTGTGCTCCGTTGCCAAACGTCCCAAAATTCAAACGGAATATTTATTAGAAGGCCATCCAATAAAAATTTACTATTGACATTTGTTTCCGCTTCTGACAGTTTGTGTAAAATAATCAAAACTTTAAATCACGATATCTTTGTGACAAATTTTAATCCTCGTAACCCATTTTTGCGCGTTTTCGAGATTTTCGGCGCGATCTGGCAACGTGGCTTGCGCTCGGCCTCTGGATGTGTGTTTATCGAACACGCGGATGACGTCATGGCGCGCTGCAAAGTAGATGGCGAAAATTTCGCTCTAAGCACACTGGATTTAAGCGTTAAAATTACTTGAAATAGGGACATCTCTCTCTCTTTTTTCACTACGTCTTCTCTTCGTTTGATTTTTCGGCGTTTCCAAACTAGCAATAGGTAGGTAAACATAAATAAACCGGTATTGATGCGTACGACAACGTTGCCAGATGTTTTATTATGATCTTAAAAAATTAGCCAACATTTGGTAAACCGAAAAATAACCATTCTCTTTTTACTTCATACGTTTTTTGGTTCCTTGCATTGTGTTGGTAGTATTGTTTCGCTCAAAGGAAGTAGCTTTGACAGAAGCACGTGTTCTAAATAATTATACACCCTTGACCTGTAACAAGCCGGGCTAACTGTTAGCCCAGCTTTTTCATTGATTGGGTATATTTTTATCGACCAATTTATATTTGCATTTACAGTTATTTTAAAAGGAAATTTTACATAGGCATTTTTTTAATAAACTCCAAGGCCAATAATTGCTAGTTATTGTTATTATTGAACAACTAAAATTAGAAACTAGTATTTTTATATTTATCGTAATAGTTTCGCACTTGTTTCAATGTTTACCAGCGATTTCAAAGTACACAATTAAAAGACCAAAATGTTTATACTGTTCCGATTTTATTCAGAAAAGGTTGCCTATTTTCAATGCAAATATTTATATTTTTACCTGCTATTTTTAAATGTAAGGAGCATGTTGCCAGTCAATATTTTTTAACCCAATTTTATTTTTATTATTATTATTTTAAAACAGTCTGAGAAAATTTAATCAATTTTGATTAAGTATTTTGTATCAATTGATAAAACCAAACAGGATACAACAGATAAATTTTTAAATAAGCACAGTACATCTCCAAAATTTTAATTAACAAATTTTATATATGTAGGTATTGGAAATTATTTTTTTGGGCTTGTCAGTAAAACTTTTCGGGAATTAAAAAAAAATAATTGTTTATCTTAAAAAAACTCACAAAATTGATTTGTCGAGTTTTTTTTAGATATATAAAAAATTTTAATTGCATTTTTTTGGGGTTAAAAATCGGTAAAACGCTTCTTTGGGTATTTTAGGTACCTACTAATTTTTCGTCCTAGAGTCCTAGAGTCCAAAGACAAATTTTAGGAGACCCATTACACATTTTGTTTACAAACTTTTGTCTAAAACTTTCTGATTTCTACCCGAGTTTAAATCCCATCACGTCACAGTTTTTTAAAATTTAATTTGACCTATTTGACTATTATTTTCGGTAGAATTGTTAGTGACTGGTTTTTGCTATGGGGTCATTCCACGTTACTCGGGGATTTTTGTCCCGCCCGTCACAATTAAAAATTGTGAGTAAAAACTACACGTTATAAAATGAATTTTAAAATATTGTTTATTATAAAATATTAATTTAATAACTTGTGGTTTTTACTCACAATTTTTAATTGTGACGGGCGGGACAAAAATTACCGAGTAACGTGGAATGCCCCTATGACAATTAGTCAAATATGACTTACAAGAATAATATTAATAATTATTATCAGACATTTTTGACTAATTCAATTTCAAAAGATTCATGGGAAAAAAATTACCTGTCAATTTTTTTTCTGTACTAAACTGCCCGTCAAAATTAACGCATAAGTAAAAAAACTCTAAAACGCCTTTACCAATCTTTATAAAATTTTGGATAAAAATACTTTAACTTATATCTCAGTTTACGAAAAAATATCCTTAAAGCCCTTTTATTTAATATTAAAAATAATGCTCGAAAAAAAACTTCTATAGGGAATTTTTTTAAGTACCTAAATAAAAAATATGCTGTTAAAGACCGTATTTTTTTTAGTATACCCTGAAAATTTTGTACAAATCAAACGAACAGTAACGAAGATACAGCGCTTCAAAGTCGGTAAAAATGACCACTTTTCAGCAAAATAATCAAAAAGGGGTCATTTTTACCGACTTTGAAGCGCTGTATCTTCGTTACTGTTCGTTTGATTTGTAAAAAATTTTCAGGGTATACTCAAATATACGGTCTTTAACAGCATATTTTTTATTTACTTAAAAAAATCCCTATAAATTAAATAAACGGGCTTTAAAAATATTTTCTCGAAAAACCCTCGAACACGTAAACTGAGTTAGGTATAAGTTGAAGTATACAAAATTTCATAAAGATTGGTAAAGGCGTTTTAGAGTTAGAATTTTTTTACTTATTATGCGTTAATTTTGACGCGCAGTGTATATGAGGAATTTTTGTATGGTTTTTAAATTTTATTATCTTCACTAAAATTTCGTGTAAATTTAGACTTGATATTGATTAAATAATGAAGGGCAAATTACATATTATAATGCAATAGGGTATAGGGTATTTTCGTGCCTTGTACCTACATACCTACTTGAGATAAGGCTTTTGTAAATCAGTATCAAAATAATATTAATATCCATTTAAATATTATGAATATTTGATTGAAGAAACCATGAATTATTTTTTTGTTTCAAACATAACGTTATCATTTCCATAAATTATTTTTTAGTGGTTATGTCAACTTTTTTGCTTTTGTACATTATTTTGCAGCATAAATCGGAATAAAGGCTCTAAAACTAAAATAGGTACCCGACTTGACTACTACGACTATGTGTACGACAAACGCGACCTTTACAGACAATATAGACTGCTTGCGACCTTGGAAAGCCCCGGCCGCATTTTATGCGGAATAAATACAACGACCAGGGCCGTAATCGAAATTTTCGGGCCCCAGGGTAATTTTTTGCGGGGGTCCCGAAATTTTCTTTCGCAAAATAAGTTTATTCCAATAATTGATTGATTAAGAATATCATTATTTTATTTAACTGGTTTATTTGTCAAAAACAATGCTGGGAACACGTTGTTTTAATATAAGTGCTAAACTATGTTACGTGGGCCCGATGGATTTCATTCAATAATATTCGCACACGGTAGTGCAGAGGCGTAATCAACGTTATAAAAAATGATTTGTTTGCCTCTCTGTAGTTGTAAACAAGGAAACTAGTTTTTATATTAAATATGCAATTTGTTTAATTAAAGTATGATTCACGAATTATAAAAAATCAGGGCAAAATGCTTTATAAATGTTAGCAGACATCTTGTGAAAGTAGTCCAAATGTGAATAGGTACTTGGAGGATATTAAAAAAATCGAAAATTGATTTACATCAATATTGATTAAAATGTCTGAATAAACAAATTCCTTAAAATATACTGCTATTGAACAAAATAATATTTAAACCAAAATACAGTACCGAAAAGGTCATTATCAAATATTCCAATTAAAGCGCTTAGATAAGCAGTTTAAGCGAGTTTAAGTTTCTAACCAGAATCTATAAAACAATTTAAACAGCACCAACACCTTACCATGATATTTGTTTATCGTTATACAAATGATATATGTAATAATAATAATACAATTTTATAAACCTTACCGATTTAAATAATTTTTTGTGTTTTGTTCGCCTTAATATAGGGGTGATTTAAATAAAAAATACATTTGTAAAAACCGGAAGGAATAGACGGAAAATCAAAATTCGTACAACTTTGGGTAATTTGAATAGATGGCGTTCGTAGCTACGATTTAAAATAAATTAATAAACATAACCACAAATTTATTCATTCAATTGTTTTAGCGAGAAATTAGTTATATTAGTTTATATTAAATAACTACTATGCCAATGTAGGGACAAACCTAGCAATGCAAATAAAAGGAAAAATGCAAAATAAGGAAGAACAGTTAAAATACAATGTAAAAATGTCAATGTACCTAAGACCCACACACCTAAAAGAAATAATAGACAACCTGAAATCAAATGCTTCGTCTGGCCATGACAAGATAAAACCTAACTTAATAAAAAAACTTAAACATGTCATTGCCCCAGTATTACTCCAACTAATAAATACGCAAATGAAAAAAGGGACGTTTCCAGATGAACTCAAAATAGCAAGAATCACACCGATATACAAGTCAGCAGACAAAACTGAACCTGGAAATTATAGAACAATTGCAAATCTAACAGTATTCAGCAAGATTTTTGAAAAAGTACTACATAAAAGGTTATCAGAACACATACATAATACAGATATTCTAACAGCTAGCCAACACGGATTTCAAACACATAAAGGAACAACAACAGCAATAAGCAACTTAATGAACTACATTCTAACACAACTTGACAACAAACTAACGGTAACTGGTTTAGTACTAGATTACAAAAAGGCATTTGACACAGTGAACCTTGACTTATTAATTTCAAAAATGAAAAATATGGGAGTAACTGGAAATTCTCTAAACATGTTCCAATCATATCTAACAAATCGACGCCAGTTTACAGTGGTAGGGGACCAATGCAGCACAATAGAGGAAAGCAAATATGGTGTTCCTCAGGGGTCAATTCTGGGACCCTACATGTACTTACTTTACATTAATGATCTTAGCCTATATAAAATACATGGTAAAATGCTTATGTATGCAGATGACTTGGCAATTTTTTACAAGAACGAAAACAACAAAGGCACAGAAAGTAAAATTAAACAAGACTTAAATACACTAAAAAAATGGACCAATTCTAATCAACTAACCCTAAATCATAAAAAATGTCACTTTATAAACTTTGAATCCAGAACAAGAGAACATCAAATTAACATCAAAATCAAGGAGCCACTAAAGGAAGTTAAAACAATCAAATACCTGGGACTACACATTGACAATAAACTAAACTGGAAGCAACACATACATAAACTAAATGAATCTCTCTCTTCATACATATACCTAATGAACAAAATAGCAAAAACTCTTCCTCTTAAACAAAGAATCTTAGTCTATGATTCCTATATTAAGAGTCAATTGGCATACCTCATACCTTTTTGGGCAACAGCAAACGAAACCGCTAAAAAATCGTTGCAGCGAAATCAAAATAAAATATTAAAGATTATGCACAAAATGGACAAATACATGCCTACTGAACAACTTTATAAGATCACCAAACAGCTAAATATCGAAGAGCTTAGACAACTAGAAAGCCATAAATTAGTGCACAAGATCATAACAAATAAGATACTGGATGAAGAAGTAACATTTAGAAAAAGAGCGGACACACATGAACATAATACAAGAGGACGTCAACAAATAGACATAGAAAGAGCCAAAACAAAATATGGAGAAATGAAAATAAAACATCAAGGGTACAAACTATACAACAAATTACCAGAGAATATAAAAAACCTACCCGAGACGACTTTCAAAACCAACTTGAAGACTTTTATTTTGCACCAAAGAATATCTACTTAATATATTTACTTATTTATTATTTATCATATAAATCCAATATTATACATACTTATTTATTATATTTATACTTATCCGATATTATCGCTACTGTGATATTTAGGATGTACTTTTTTAAATAAAAAAAAAAAAAAGTTTAAATAGTATGTTCTCAATTGTTTAAATTATTTTGAATAGTAAAGTTCTCAAGGTAAGTTTGACAGATTTGAGCGACTGTGAAAACAATTCCGTGTCGTTTTACAGTGTTCAATGAATTGGAGTTGAAAGGTTCATAAGGATTGATAATCGTTTATAAAGAATTTTAGGTGGAACGAAGTTCACCGGGTCATCTAGTTATAATAATAATATAATTGTCAAAAGCTTTAGCCTGAGTGCAAATGCAAAGAGTTAACATAAATAAATACTTTAGTGCCGAGATGATACACTGAGTTGCATAAACAATACAAATATAGATAAAGTTATACACAAAAGAACAACAAAGCAAAGTTATTCATACTAAAGTCAGTACAACTCAAAATAAAGACAATAATATTAAAATAAGATAAATGTAGCTTGGTGTATATGATGAACGCGACAACATAAAGCTTGAGATTGGAACTCAGTGTATGGGCGTCTCCAAGGTATTAAACCCAAATAATGAAATAATGACTATTTACACATAATAAAATAATTAGAACTCAATAAACTAGCAATGATAAACGACATAGGCCAAGATGAGAAATTAAATAATGATGTTAAAATATATATTAACAAAACCCAAAACAGGTACTTAGGTAGTGGTTTATCATCACTAGCAAAAATTGTAATTTATAAAAGTGTACATACCTAGTTATAGAAGAAAATTGGTTACAATCACAATAATTGTACTTATATTGTTATACAATTCTCACACACTTTTTACAGGCGTATATCGTATAACGATCAAAACCTTTCTGCCCTTCTTCCCTCATTTTATTTTTAAACTTCTCGACCAGTTAAGTAAGATACAAAGAAGTGAAATTTTTAAACTCAATAGGGTTTTTAAAACATAAAATAACTAATTTATTATTTTTGGTGGATTACCCATTTAAATTTTCCTTTGATAAAATGGCGCCAAATTTGAATTTAACATTTATATACCACAGGACCCTGCACAATTTGTTTTGCTCTCTTTCAGATGCGACTTCAGGTTTCCCAGCACGAACATCCGGCTGAAATTTCAGTCGCTCATAGAGGACAATTGCGAGCCGCCCCCCAAGATACGCGAGGTTTCGCCCATCAGGATGCGCGACAGGTCGGGGGGCGGGGGAGGGGGCGGCTCCCTGGCGCCGCTGCGCATAAACATACCGGACAGCGACGTCTACGGAAGTCCGTTTCCGTCCCCCACGGGCACCATCAGTGCTGCCAACAGTTGCCCAGCTAGTCCCAGAGGTACAGTATTATATAGCATTGTTTCGCTTTTTTTTCCAGTCGCAACTTTTTTTGTTTGTGATACTGAGGGTGAAAAAATAAATACGTTCTCCAAGCAGCATTTTTGGTTCCAAAAACCATTACCAAAGTGGTGATAACTTTAAATTAGTTAAGTATACTAAACAGCTACTTTATTTTTTACTTAAAAGTAATTCTAACTTTTAAATAGCAATATTTTGTAACAGAAACTTCATTGTTTCCTTAAATGGTAACTATAAAGTAATAAACATTTACGTAAAACTTGGTTGCCCCCAAGAATACTTTGCAACTTTAAAAAACGTGTTATAAGAAAAAAAAATCAAGTAAATTTAATTTGTAGCAGTTTCTTTCGGTTCCTACCTAAAGATTACATTATAATTATTTTTACTTTGTAGTCCCTTTGCAAGTTAAAATCTCGAAACTGGAACATGATTTATGTACCACAAAGTTAATAACTTAAAAGTTATTATTTTAGTATTTGGAACGTTTATGGTACTAACCAAAACTACCGTAAAGTAAATTAAGGTGGAAAAAAAACTTTAAAGTAGCGAAAACTACTTCAAAGGAAAATGCTCCTTATCGGCCATTTTTTACTTTACAGTACCACGTGGTAATATAAATAATAAATTATTTTAATTGTTTGTAAATGGTTGTTTACTTTTTAATAAATAGTAATTTTGTTGGTAATAAACGGTACTATATAGTATAATAAATATTAAGATTTTTTTATTTATAAACATTATTAAATAAATAATTTGTTTATACTTAAATATTGATAAAGCGCATTTATTTTACAAAAACTAATTTCATAAGTTCAACAGTAAAATTGAAAGGGTTTATAAATTTACCTGCCTAATTAAACATTATATTGTTTTAAACTACCTACCAGTGCATATTTAATAAACGACGACATTGAAAAGCCAAGTCTGTAGTGGTTCAATTTAAAAAAGGAGCCTTTATTTTAAAATAGAAACCTTTTAAAAGATGTTAAAGAAAAATAAATGTCTAAAACCAGACCAGGTTATATTAATAGCAAATTAGAAATAATTATAATTATTTCTAATAATTGTAACGCTAATAATTACACTGTGCGACAAATTTTGACCTTGCAATTTGAACTGGGATGAAATGTGGAAAAATCGAATCTATGCAACCCCCAAAACTAATCTTTAAAGGGGTTTTGCTAGTTTAGCTCGAATAATGGAGATATATAAAAGCCCCTAGAACTTAAAAAATATATGAATTTTATAGAAAAATGCTCGGACACGTCGATTTTTATTTTATATGACGCAATATTCAGTTGATTTTGAAATTTTTATTTTTTCACAGATTCACCCCCAGCCACCCCACTTTTTTTTTTAAAAGAAAACCGACCCTTTGTTATACCTTAAATAACAGGTAATGTATGTAAATGAATTAGTCAAAAGTAACTAATTTAATAGTTAATAGTGGCTGCTTTTTCACTTGTGCCATGGTTAACCATGGAATACCATGGTATCCCAAAATTTAACAGCCAATTCTTATGTAAAATTTTCTCCTGAATCAGAAAATACCGTCAAAATTTAAAAAAGTAGAACAGTTTTGACTCAAAACTGTTCTACTTTTTTAAATTTTGAATTGAATATGGAATTGACTATATCTCAAAACTTTTGAGATATAGTCAATTCCATATTCAATGGAAAATTGACTATATCTCAAAAACTGTTCCATTTTTTAAACTTTTGATGACTTTTTCGGATTCAGGAGAAAATTTTACAGAAGAATTGGCTGTTAAATTTTGGGATACCATGGTATTCCATGGTTAACTATTAAATTAGTTACTTTTAACTAATTCATTTTTAGTACATTACTTGTTATTTAAGGTATAACAAAGGGTCGGTTTTCTTAAAAAAAAAAAGTGGGGTGGCTGGGAGTGAATCTGTGAAAAAATAAAAATTTCAAAATCAACTGAAAATTGCGTCATATAAAATAAAAATCGACGTGTCCGAGCATTTTTCTAGGGGCTTTTATATATTTCCATTATTCGAGCTAAACTGGTAAAACCCCTTAAAGGATTTGTTTTAGGGGTTGCCTAGATTCGATTTTTTCAGATTTGATCCCAGTTCATTTTTTGTGTTCCACAGTGTTATTAGCGTTACAATTATTTCAAATGACTTGCCTTTATTTTAAAATAGAAACTTTTTAAAAGATGTTGAAGAACGGTAAATGTCTAAAACCAGACCTAATTTTAAAATTTGTCTGTACAAAAAGCTATGTATACATATATTATTTATTAAATTATAAAAATTGGTAAATGCAAAAAAATGATACCACAAATAATTTTTTTGTTTGCTCAAAATAGACTTTGGGCGTGACACCCAGAATTTTTTTTGCCAGCAGCTTTTCCCGTATAAGGGCCCCAACCATATTTTTGATACGGGGCCCCCTCGAGGCTAGCTACGCCACAGAAAACAACCATGATTTTTTTAAAACAACACACAAAGTTTAAATTGAAAATATTATAGACTTCGTCTTCGTCTTCAAATACTACAAAACAATATTAGAGGCATTCTGTATTGTAAAAGAAAACTTATATTAAAAAAATTACACTAGAAGAGATAGAGAAAGAGAAGGGCAGACCATGCTGCGTTAATGATATATAATATTCAACATTTAGGCAATTCATTTAACTCTCCGTATAAGTTAAATTAACAGTCTTACTCTCGGTTGAATTATCTTTACATTGAAGTAATAAAATAAAAATGTTAACAAAATATCTTGCAATTTTGGAATAATTATTATGATATGTTGACTCAATATTCCAAGTTTATAAAGGCAAAATACAAAAGAACATCCCTTCAATAATTTTATCTACGCCAGTGAGATATGAACTTCTTATCCCACTCATTTTGAGTGAGATAAGAAGTTCATTAACGCACGCGTTTTTCTCTGCTTTTAACCAATCAAATAAAAAAGTCAAAATGTCAAAATAACTCTAATTAAGTCTTAGACAAAAATAATTACCGTTTATTTTTTCATTTAGAGGCGTAGATAAAAATGTGTACAATATACGTGTGATAACGCTTTATTAACGTACTTTTGCGATTGCCCAACTCGTGCTACGCACTCGCAAATTTCGCATGCGTACGTTAATAAAGCTCTTATCCCACTTATATCGTAAATAACTATTACATATTCGTTTAATTTTTGTGTGTAAATATATCCATTTAACTAGTAGAAAAATGATTTAATCAAATTTCTTAAAAATATTTATTCAATATACGTTTAGTGTTAATATACTGATTTAAATAATGGACTATTAAAATAACATTTTTAATTTGACACTCTCAAAATATTAATTGAAAGTATAATTTAAGTTTATGTCAACAAAATGATTATTGTTTATTGTTTAAATTAATTATTATCTAAAACTGTGATTTAACAAATTCATTTCTCTTAGTTTAAAAGAAACGCGTAATTTTTCAAGTGAACTGACTGAAAGACCATTGTGCCTCTAACTATTGGAAATACGAAAAAACTGTCAATCTGTCAACCGTTTTGCCACGTTGTGATTTGAGGTTATTTATTGTAGTATTGTTGGATTGCGTAATTGTTTTATTATGAACCTTAAGCTTAATTTTCTGTTTGTCCGTTAGTCCGATCATCCGGGAGCGCTCTTATTGGTCCAATTATAATTCGAAAATTATGACAATTTATCGGTCCGTCAAGTTTCAACTTCGTACGTCTGACGGGAATTTTAATATTTTTTTAATAAGATTGTCAAACATAAATATTACGTTCGTTATGTGAATAATGTTTTTATTTAATAAGAATAACCGAAAAAAAGAAAAGACAAACAAAAAATATTAAAACCAGAACTAAAAGGACCTGCTTTACTTTACATTTTAATTCATAGATAACAAAGCCTTTAATATATTAAAGCTAGTATATTCTTTTTATATGGTATATTTACCTACCTTTAAAGCTAACTGTTAAAGTTACAATTGTTGACATAATTATTAGTATTACAATTAAGCATAAGGTAAATTTAGTAAAGGGGAATATATAAAGTGACCAGATTCTGTCAAAAAATAGAGGGACATTTATATGAATTTACCTTAATTACAAAATTGACACAATGATACAATGCAAATTGTATATTGGACGTTACTTAATTATTGTTTATTGTGTCATTTTTATAATTAAGCTTAATTTACACCCGCTATTTTTTTGACAGAATCTGGCCACTTTAGGAATATACTACCTAACCCTTAATTTCTATTTGTCGCAAAATCAATCCGTTAAACGTCATTAAAAAGCGGATGCATGAAAATTAGAACATTCTTTAAATGTATCATTGCTTTCAACAAACTACCAGAACAGTTAAAAATTACAAAGAATGTTCATTATTTTTTAAGGGAAATAAAGCTTTTGTGCAGCTAATTGTGATAAAACTCTAAATTGTTGTTAATCATAGAATATTATTTCAAGATAAAGTATAACTTTTTTTTTATATAAAGTATAATATTTGTAATAGGTTAGAATTATTTTTTTTTGTTATATATAATATACATATATGTATATTTTTTTAGGCCCTGGTACCAGATTTTAAAACTGAATTTTGGGGTCAATAATAAATAAAGAGTTATTATTATTATTATTATTCTTATCGGACGATTTTATTGTAAAACGGACAAACGGATACATGAAAATTAAGCTTTACAGATTGATTGGTGTAATAATATTTAGTAAAAGTAACGTTATGGTGGTAATGATTACTAAACTAATGTCTGAGCATGAGACTAATTTGATATGTGTTTGTCTTGATTAAAAACAACAGTATTATTTTTAAGGCTCATTCGACGGCCCACTAGCGCCGCCATCGGAAAAGCAGTCACACTTTTTTTAAAGAGCTGTGACCAAAGGTATTATCTTTGGCTGACTGCTTTTTCGATGGTGTTGTCGGACCTACCGATATTTCGGTATTTCTACCGAAATGGCAACGGACTTACCAAAATACCAAATACTAAGATTTTCGTCAATAATTATGTTTCTACCGATTTTTTTAACGATTTTACCCTTTTTGCCGATTTATCAATCGCACCCGAAGCTGCTTAAGTTATGTTTAAGAAGAATTCATTCTATTTATGTTTATTTGTTACCAACTTATTTTGTAGTACCTAGAGACTAATAAAACAACGATTCTGTCCAGTGTTTAAATTTTGTACTTGCAACACCCGAAACAGAACCATGGTAACACCCGAAACAAGGTAAAATTTTATAAAATAATAACGTTATTTGTGACAGTGATTATGTGAGATGATTAGTAAATATTATACTTTTGGAAGCCTGTTATTTTTAGGAATGTTTCCCTAAGAAAATTCGCTGAATTTCAAATAAATGTAACAATGGTCAGGACATAGAGACAGAATCGTGAAACACCCGAAACGCTCACTGTACTTATTCTACAATTTAGATAAAACAACTAAAAACGTAGAGAATAAGGCACTTTAATTGCTAAAATGTTATTTCAAAATACATAAAAATTTAGACTGATTGAACAAATGTAACAACCGAAACGATGGAATGACCCCTGTACAAAACTATTTTAAAACTGACGACTATGTTGGATTCGCATAATTGATCCATTTGCTGAATGGCAAAAATTAACATTACCCACAATGAAATCTAGATAAATAAAATAAAAAAATTCATGCATTATGCAAATTAAAATACTAATGTGTAGCGTTTTGTTATGAGTGTATAAATAAGTTGTTTAGCGTATGGTATTTATAAATTAACTGATTTGAATTTGAAATTATTTTTGCCGGAAGTGCTTATTTTAGTAAATATAAACACCACATATTTTAGGTGGCTTATGCAATCATTCCAATAAATATTAAATTAAATAAAAGATATTTCTCAGCCGCATATTTTTATTTGTATAATACATAAAACGTAAAAATATTATGAATATTAAGAGTATTGGGTTAGATCTGACAGTCGTCGAATTTTTTGATTGGTCCGCACTGATTTTTTACAGACTAGGAGGTAAAAAACTGACATACAATATTTTATCTTCAAGGCAAAGTTTTATTTGTAAAACATTACATAAAACGTACTTGCAATTGATTATAATAACAATTATTAAAACTATAAAGTGAGGTTATGTAGCTGTTATTTGCCCGAGTGGTTTTTTTACGGACTAGGATGTAAAACCTTCACCTGATTGCTCTAAATTAGTTTTACATCCAAAAGCTTAAATTATAGTAAAATCGGGGGATCCGGTTATTTTAGGATCTCTGTCAAGCCTAAAAAATTAAATGTAATATTTTTTAATGGTGGCAACCATGGAAAAAGAAGCGTCTCGGCCGAACGCTTATATTGCAATCAGTTATTAGTTAAACATTATTATGCAATTAGGTATTTTTATAAATAGATAAAAATGCTCATTTTGCAACAAATACAAAAAATAGTATAAAGTACTCATTTTGCAACTAGGAAATGCTTCTTTCGCAATTAGTTACTTTGCAACTGGTTAAAGAAATACATAAAAATGCTAATTTTGAAACAAGTTACTGGTTACATAAATAACTTATTTTGCAACTAATTACATAAATAGTAAAAAATGCTCATTATGGTACTAGGAAAACGCTCATTTAAAGTTATACACTGTTTACATAAATAGCTCATTTTGCAACTAATTACATGAATAGTACAAAATGCTCATTTAGCAGTAAATAAAACCCTTAGTTTGCAACCAGTTATTAGTTAAACAGCATTTTGCAACTAGTTGCATAATTAGATAAAAATGTTCATTTTGCAACCATTTTAAAAAATAGTAAAAACTAGAAAATGCTTATTTTGCAATTAGTTACTCTTAATAATAGCATTTTGCAACTAGTTACAGAAATACATAAAAATGCTAATTTTGAAACTAGTTACTGGTTACATAAATAACTTATTTTGCAACTGATTACATAAATAGTAGAAAATGCTCAAATAAAAAGTGCACATTTTGCGACTAGAAAATGCTTATTTTGCAATTAGTTACTCGTAATAATAGCACTAGTTACAGAAATACATAAAATGCTAATTTTGAAACTAGTTACTGGTTATATAAATAACTCATTTTACAACTAATTGCATAAATAGCAACAATGATAGTTTTACAACCAAAAAAAACGTTTATTTTATAAGCAGTTATAAGTTAAATAGCATTTTGCAACTAGTTGCATAAATACATTAAATGCTCAGCAAGCAACTGGGAAAACGCTTATATTGCAACCAGCTACTAATTAAATAGCATATTAGCATAGGAAGAAATGATTACGCTAATTTTGCAACCATTTATTAGTTAAATGGCATTTTGCAACTAGTGACATAAATAAATAAAAATGCTTATTTTTTCACTAGTAACTATGGTTATATATATTTATATAGCTCATTTTGCAACCATTTCATCTTCAAGATACAGTTTTATTTGTTAAATATTACATAAAACGTACTTGCAATTATAACAGACCTGTCGACAGTTGATTGGTCCGAATGTTTTTTTTTACGGAGTAGGACGTAAAAAACTTCACCTGATTTCTCCAAATTATTTTTACATCCTACAAGCTATCCACTTTAATTATGGACTTTCATTGATATATAAACCCGAAAACCAATTTTCGATTTCTTCTTCCTCTTAAAAAATATCGTTGATGAAGGATCTCAGCCAAGCTTTGAAATTAAATGTAAATTTTTTTAAGGAGGTCATCATGGTGGCAATCATGGAAAAAGAAGCGTCTCGGCCGAATTACAAATGGTGGCTCAGTACGCGGCTCAAGTGGCACATAGGGAAGAGGCTCATCATATGCAGTCCAGCCACAGTCCCGACTATAGGCAACCCACGTCGAACGGCAACTCTGTAAGTCACTAACATGGTACAAGAAAACAAAGTATGTTCTTCAGCAGGACGAATTTTGGTTCACTTTGCGCACCACCCAGTTACCGCCATCTTAGTTTATCCCCGCCTTTGAATTTAAAAGATATTTAAATTTAAACATTATTCTCTTATGAAATTCATCCAAAAACTTCACAATTTTAACATTTCAAGAAAATATTATTAATGAAAAAAAAACTTTTATATGGGTTTTCAATTAAATTAAATATATTGTTTCAAAGTAATTTACTTAATAATAATAATATTTAATAAATACCAAATAAAATATATGAGAAAAGTGCTAAGAAAAAATTAATTTTAGTTTTAAGATTAATGTTTTAAATAATGGGTTTTCAAATAAAATATCTTGTCTTAAAGCCAATTAAAAGTGAAATGTTTTCAATAAAATAAAATATCCCGTTTTAAAGCAAATATAAATAATGAAATGAAAAGTGTCAAGCTACAACATTAACATTGCAAGAAAAATGTAAACAACATATTTTTTCTAAATTTATTTATTACGAAATTGTATTTACAAATAATAACGGTTTAATTGCCAAATAAGAACCGTAAATTGGCCACCATGGAGCCAACATTGAATAAAACAAACTAAACTTGTGAAAAATATTATATTATGGTGTGGTATAAGCTGGTTTTCTAATGCTTTTGGGATGTTTCAATCCCGGGCCATTTCATTATCAACAGCATGCTGCAGTATGAGTTTCTGTTCTTTACTGTCCTTGAAGATCATTAAGCTTCCTTGTCTTGGCACATTTCCTGCACAAGGCAAAAATAATTTTTATTAATTTTGTTTTTCAAATTTTATTTTAATTTCTCAGTACTTGAGTTTCTGTTACGGGCTGTCTTCAAAGATCACATTATGCTTGCTATGCTGTTTTTGTCCTATTTCTTGTACACTGTAAAAATAACCATAATTTATATTGTTTTATCCAATTTTATTTTAATTTCTTACGAAGTACTTAAATGTCTTTTGATAGATCAGCTGTTAAGTGTAAAGTTGGAACCGGCTCCACTTTTAAAGAGTTTTTTATGGGAATGTAGTTTGTATGTTTTTTCGATTCAATATTCCTTCTTATAGCAACTATCTTTGAAGTAAATGAAACAAATACAAGCTACAAAACAAAACAAAAATTATTAACCTAAATTATTTTTTTATTTATACACTCACGTGCAAAATATTCGATCCACACAAATTTTCGATGAATTTCAATCGCAAATAACTTTTATTTGATGTCGGATTTAAACGAATATTAAAGAATATTGTAGATAAATTAATGGACAATCGCTCACATTTTAAAAAAATACTAAAAAATAGACGTACGTTTATAATATACAAGACACTCTGTAGAGTGGCAAAACCGTATATTGTTCTAAATTAAGTTTTATTTATCAAGTCACATCTATTCTTAACAGTTTTGTTTTTGGTTCACTTCGATATATTTATTTTTGTGGAAAATATGGATTTTTTTAAAAAACATTGCAATTTCCAATATTATTCCTGTATGAAGAACTAAGGTTGCTATGGTCCATCCATAGCCTATGGAGAATGACAGTGACAGTTTTGTTGAATCATCCCATACTTGGACATGTCATATACAGCTTTCAAAAGCTATCAAATTGTTTTTTGTAAATTAATGTGTTAATTTTAAAGTGTCTTTTTACTTTTAAAAATGTCTCCGACTGATGTTGCCCTTTGTACTGTACTTCTTATGACGTTTAAAACACTTGCCACGTAATACTGTGACCGTCCATCCTGGATTAAATTAATAGCTCTGGCAACATCAGTCGGAGACATATCCATTTTATAAAGTAAGAAGACACCTCAAAATTTAAACATTAATTTGAAAAAACAATATGATAGCTTTTGAAAGCAGTGTATGACATGTCCAAGTATGGGATGATTCAACAAAACTGTCACTGTCATTCTCCATAGCCTATGGATGGACCATAGCAACCTTAGTTCTTCATACAGAAAAATATTTGAAATTGCAATGTTTTTTAAAAAAATCCATATTTTCCACAAAAATAAATATATCGAGGTGAACCAAAAACAAAACTGTTAAGAATAGATGTGACTTGATAAATAAAACTTAATTTAGAACAATATACGGTTTTGCCACTCTACAGAGTGTCTTAAACTTATGGTAAAAAACATATTTTTGTTTAAATCTGTATATTATAAATGTACGTCTATTTTTTTAGTAATTTTTTAAAATGTGAGCGATTGTCCATTAATTTATCTACAATATTCTTTAATATTCGTTTAAATGCGTCACAGATAATCTGTGTGTACATCTACCTCTAGAAGAAAATGTATTGTACTTCCAGGTTTTCTTCTTTTGGCATTGTTTTTACTGATTTTCACTTGGCAGATAGACATTTTTTAAACTAAGAAAACTTAAAAAGAGCTAAATAAACAACTCACATTAAAATATAAATAGTCAATATGACGGCGACTGGGTACTCCCACCTCTTCGCCAATCTGATGGAGTGGTGGAAACAGATGCGCAAGAACATTCCTTTTTTTCTTGTTACTAAGTGTTCTGAAGGCCAAAACGTTCTTAAAACATTTTGCTTTACCAAATTTAAAACACCCTCTTTCCACTCATCAGATAGTCTCCGGGGCGGTGGTGATGAACGAGGCGGCTTACGTGGCAGGCGGCAGCGGAGGCGGCGGCAAAGACGAATCGAAGCCGCCGTTCTCGTACGCGCAGCTGATCGTGCAAGCGATCGCCAGCGCCATCGACAAGCAGCTGACGCTGAGCGGCATTTACAGCTACATCACCAAGAACTATCCGTACTACAGGACGGCCGACAAGGGATGGCAGAACTCCATCCGGCACAATTTAAGTTTGAATCGGTACTTCATCAAGGTAAATGCACCCCCTGTAAAGTCTATTGGTACGACATTTTAGGATGTTAAAAATAATGTTTGCGATAGGTTCCTAGAAGTCAGGAGGAGCCCGGTAAAGGATCGTTTTGGAGGATAGATCCGCAATCGGAATCAAAATTAATTGAACAAGCATTTAGGAGAAGACGACAGCGAGGGGTTTCGTGCTTTAGGGCGCCGTTTGGACTAAGCTCAAGGTAAACAAAATGAATCCTTGAATCAATCGTTGCCATAGTAGCTTAAATACTCGTTTAATGACTCAGGAGTGCCCCGGCATTGCCATTGCACGTGAGCATGTCCGACATGATTTTAAACTGGTTACACAAATAGCTCATTTTGCAACTAATTACATGAATAGTACAAAATGTTTATTTAACAGTCCAGATAACTTTTATTTTGCAACCGGTTATTAGTTAAACAGCATTTTGCATAAATGGATAAACATGCTCATTTTGCAACTGGATATTCTTATTTTGCAATTAGTTACTCATAATAACAGCATTTTTCAGCTAGTTACAGAAATACATCAAAATGCTAATTTTAAAACTAGTTACTGGTTACATAAATATCTTATTTTGCAACTAATTAAATAAATATTAAAAAATGCTCATTATGCAACCAGATAAATGCTAATTTAAAAATTATTCACTGGCTACATAAATAGCTAATTTTGCAAATAATTATATAAATAGTATAAAATGCTCATTTAGCAGTTAAGACAACGCTTATTTTGCAACTAGTTATTAGTTAAACATTATTTTGCAAACAGTTGCATAAATAGATAAAAATGCTCATTTTGCAACAAATTAAAAAAGTAGAAAGTGCATATATTGTAACCAGAAAATGCTTATTTTGCAATTGGTTACTTGTAATAATAGAATTTTGCAACTAGTTACTGAAATACATAAAAATGCTAATTTTAAAACTATTTACATAAAAATGCTAGTTTCATAAATATCTTATTTTGCAACCAATTACATAAATAGTAAGAAATGCTCACTATGCAACTGGGAAAACTCATTTTAAAATTATTCACTGGTTACATAAATAGCTTATTTTGCAACTTATTACATAAATAGTACAAAATGCTCATTTAGCAGTAAAGAAAACGCTTATTTTGCAAACAGTTATTAGTTAAACATTATTTATGCAATTAGTTGCATAAATAGATAAAAATGTTCATTTTGCAACAAATTAAAAAAATATATTAAAAAGTGCTCATTTTGCAACTAGCAAATGCTTATTTTGCAATTAGTTACTGAAATTCATAAAAATGCTAATTTTTAAACTACTTACTGGTTACATAACTATCTTATTTTGCAACAAATTACATTAGTAAAAAATGCTCATTATGCAACTAGGAGAACGCTTATTTTAAAAATATTTACTGGCTACATAAATACCTCATTTTGCAACCAATTACATAAATAGTACAAAATGCTCATTAAGCAGTTAAGAAAACGCTTATTTTGCAACCAGTTATTAGTTAATTATTATTTTGCAACTAGTTGCATAAATAGATAAAAATGCTCATTTTGCAACACATTGCAAAAATAGTAAAAAGTGCTCATTTTTCAACTAGAAAATGCTTATTTTGCAATTAGTTATTGAAATACATAAAAATGCTACTTATTGCAACTTATTACATAAATAGTAAAAATGCTCATTATGCAACTAGGAAAACGCTCATTTTAAAAGTATTCACTGGTTACATAAATAGCTCATTTTGCAACTAATTACATAAATAGTACAAAATGATCATTTAGCAGTTCAGAAAACGCTTATTTTACAACCAGTTATTAGTTAAACAGCATTTTGCATAAATGGATAAAAATGCTCATTTTGTAACTAGAAAATGCTTATTTTGCAATTAGTTATTCGTAATAATAGCATTTTGCAACTAGTTACTGAAATACATAAAAATGCTAATTTTGAAACTAGTTACTGGTTACATAAATAGCTCATTTTGAAACTAATTACATAAATAGTACAAAATGCTCATTTTGTGACTAGAAAATGCTTATTTTGCAATCAGTTACTCGTAATAATAGCATTTTTCAACTAGTTACTGTAATACATAATAATGCCTATTTTCAAACTAGTAACTGGTTACATAGATAAATCATTTTACAACTAATTACATAAATAGCAATAATGGTAATTTTACTACTTGAAAAACGTTAATTTTACAAGCAGTTACTAGTTAAATAGCATTTTGCATATACAGGGTGTCCCAGAACTCGCGCCACAGAGAAAAAGGGGGCGTGCCGATAGCAATGGAGATGCCAAATTTAAAAATAAAAAATTTCTAGGTAATAGTGTAATCGAATGAGAGCAAAAAAGCGGCAGCCAATACCGAGAGCTCTCGCCTAGGTTAAACGTAAGAGCTTTAAAAATTGCTAGGAGACGATAGAACATTGTTGTATTAAAAACATTTAAAAATCTTTTGGCCAACTGTATTTACTAAGTTGTCAAAAGCTTTCAAAAATGAGGTTATTAACACGTTCGCTGCTGACGACGTCTAAAGACGGCCACCGCTTCTTCAGTGGGAGGCGAACGGCGCCTTTTGACGTCCACTAAAATATCGCTTATTATCCTTTAGTAATCCTTTAGACATAGACGTCTTCCGCCTCTGGATAAATTTTTTTAGCAGGTGGCTGACGACGTCTTAAGACGTCCTAGCCCTGAGTTTTTTTTATAAAATAAATGTGTTTTAAACTTTTCTTGTTTTCAAACTGTTTAATATTTCCCAAACTATTTCAGTTTCTGGGGGTCGATTGCCCATACCAGTCAGCAGCGAAAGTGTTAATCTATGACTTATACTTCAGAACGCCAATGTTTTAAAATAACGATTAGGAAAGGGCTGGGAAAAAACTCGCGTTGTCTCCCTGGCGTTGCGCCCACACTAAATAAATAAATAATTATCATTTCAGTATAATCATCTAAGGAAAACATTATTTATAATAACTTAATTTAACCTAATATAATATTAATGACAGGAGTTTGACAGCAGTGTCACAATGAATTGGATTCCAGTGGACCAAATATTTTACATATTTTTTATTATCAACAATGCAACCTAAGTATCCTAGTAATTTAAAGAATTCCCTATGGCCATCTATTGGGATTGGCTATCGTTTTTTATTCTTATCTCGCTTATCCTTTGCGTTAGACAATTTTAATTTTCAAATATGTGTTTCACGTTACTTTCGGCACGTTCCGGTTTTCTATGTGGCGCGAGTTCTGGGACACCCTGTATACATTAAAATGCTCATTTCGCAACCAGACAAACGCTTATATTGCCACAAGCTACTAATTAAATATTGTTTTAAAACTGTGTAGCTTAATTTTCATGTATCCGTTTGTCCGTTATCCGTTTGTCAGTTTTTCAATAAAATCGTCCGACAAGAAATGTTCTAATTTTCATGCATCCGTTTTTTAATGACGTTTAACGGATTGATTTGGCGACAAATAGGAATTAAGGACTAGTACCATAGTTACAATTATGTCAACAATTGTAACTTTAACAGTTAGCTGTCTAATAAATTTAAAGGTTGGTAAATATACCATATAAAAAGAATATACTAGCCTTAATATACATTAAGGGTATGTTCCGTAAATACACACGAGTTACCGGTCTGGTTACTGAAATAAATTCCTGGTTTTCTCGGTTAGTTCATATTTACGGGACACCTTTATTTGAAAAAACATAACCCAACTTACTTTTTTCGACCTACTCTTTAAAATCTATATTTTTAATAATATTTCTATAGTTACATAAACAAACCTAAAACACCCTATATACTGAATTCAATTATTTTTGGACAAAACGTATTTTGTATGCGAAGTCTGCTCCTGTGTTAAATTTTTAGGTTAGATAACCAACAAAAAACAGTAATTTTGTTTAGGGCAACACTGTTTCCATTTGGTTTGCAGCACTGGTAACCGATTTAACCGATCATACAGCGTCGGTCGTTTCGGTAACGATTTGTTAACCTATTTTTCAGGAACCGCGTTTCTTAACTACATAATTTTCAGGAATTTTTCATTTACGGGACGCCTTAACCGAAACCAAACCAACCAAGTTGATTTACGGAACATACCCTTAAATGTATAGTTTTAAGAAAGCAGGTTTTAATCTTTTTTTGTTTTTTCCGTTATTCTTATTAACATATCAGTCGAACACGTCAAAAACAGATGTGTAGTGGCGGATGAGTTAAAATTATTTTAACTTTCTCCGTCAGACGTACGAAGTTGAAACTTGACGGACCATCCATGATGATCGGACTAACGGACAAACGGATACATGAAAATTAAGCTTAAGTTAACATAAAGTAAAAAAAAGCATTCAATAGTAGCTAAAGTACTCGTTTAATGACTCAGGAGCGCCCCGGCGTCGCCGTCGCACGTGAGCATGTCCGACATGATAATGACGCCGACGGACTGCCTGTCGCGCGAGGGCTCCCCCATCCTGCAGGAGCTGCACCACGCGCTGGAGGTGAGCCAGAGCGCGCCCGGCAGCCCGGGCGGCGGCAACCCGCAATCGTCGGCCTCGTACGCCGGCTCGGGCGGCATGATCGGCCATCAGCAGATGTCGGCGCTGGTGGGCGCGAGCAGCGCGCGCCTGCTGCTGCACGCGAACGCGCCTCCCGATTCCAACGGTCAGCAGGATTACAGGGAGGGTGAGTATCAGTACCTACTCTTTTTTGAAGATCTGTCCTCTGAACATTTGGGCAAATTTTCGTTAAATGTACATTTGCTGTCTCCAGCTAATTTAATTTTTTACTTTTGTTGATAAGTTTTGCATTTATTATATTTAAATACCCCCTTTCTGTTGCGACCCATCGTATTTTTTTTAATTACTTTGTGTTTCTTATACAGGGTGGAAACCTTAACTGGAATAAATTCTCTATTTTAAAAACCACTTACTTTTTTAAAAAATCCAAAAACAGGTCAGTTTATAAATTTACCTGGGTAAATTGTGGTAAATCTTAAAAATATAAGAAACCACCCTTTGAGGGTGCAACCAACCCTAACTTTTTTTTCAAAGCAAAGGTATATCAAGTGATACATCATTTGAAAGCTTGTTTTAATAGGAATTCTTACAAATATGCAATTTTTAATTATTTTATTTTTGTACAATTATAAATAATAAAAACTTCATTTTATGATAAATATGGATTTATTATAAAAGATGTTCAAAATGAGCTCCTCTGGTTTCTTGACAAAATCCTAGACGATTATAAAATTCATTTTTAACCTTTTCCAACATCTCAGGTAATATTAAAGAAGTTTCGTGTCGGATACTCACTTTAAGATCTTCAATATTAGTTGGTTTGGTTACATAAACTTTATTTTTAAGGTAACCCCACAGGAAAAAATCCAACGAGGTAAGGTCTGGAGATCGGGCTGGCCACTCAACTGCATCTCTTGTACCAATCCACCGATTAGGAAATATTTCATTTAGGTATCGACGAACAGGTAATGCGTAGTGCGGTGGAGCTCCATCTTGCTGAAACCAGACTCTATTATCTGGTAAGTCTGGATCATTCTTGTTTGGAAACTGAACTGCCAAATATGGTATAAGATCTTCTTGAAGAGAAGTTAAGTACCTTTCGCCATTTAGAGTTTCGTTTAAAAAGGCGGGACCAATTATTCTATTACCAATTATTCCAGCCCAAACATTTACCTTTTGTGGATACTGTGTATGATTTTCTTCAATCCAATGATGATTGCTGTCGTTCCAATATCTACAATTTTGACGATTAACTTCACCATTTAAAGTAAACGTACTTTCATCGGAAAATAGTATCCAATCCAAGGAAATTTGGTTATCATTAATAAGGTTCATCATTTGCTCGCAAAATTCAATTCTGCGATCGGTATCATCCCCAATTAGTTCCTGTACTGCTTGAATCTTATACGGATGCATTTTTGAAGCATGTAGTAACTTCATTACAGTGGTGTGGCTCAAATCGTTCTCGCGAGCAATTTGTCGAGCTGAAGTAACAGGATTTTCTTGGATTGCTAATAGTACATTAAGCTTCGTATTGTCTTCAACGATAGGCTGGCGTTGTCTAGGAATATTTCTTACATGACCATTTTCGTGATATTTTGCAGTCCCTTGGCAAATGTAAGGCAATTCTGGATGCGTTTCGTTAAATAATCGTGCAACTTCTGTCTGATTTCGACGTCTATCACCAAATCCAATCATCATTAGAATCTCAATACGCAAAGTTTCAGTTAAATAAGACATTTTTACGGTCAATTTAGAACACGTTCCTTGCAACTAATTTTAAGGAACTAAAATACATTCTTTCGGTTGAATATACAACGTTTTTGGTGGATATAAAAAAAGTATTTATTTCTTTAAGGTTAAGTTATAAATTCCTATTAAAAAGAGCTTTCAAATGATGTATCACTTGATATACCTTTGCATTTGAAAAAAAAGTTGGGGTTGGTTGCACCCTCAAAGGGTGGTTTCTTATATTTTTAAGATTTACCACAATTTACCCAGGTAAATTTATAAATTGACCCGTTTTTGGATTTTTTTTAAAGTAAGTGGTTTTCAAAATACAGAATTTATTGAAATGTCCTGTAACCTAACTGTCCCCAGAGGCGATTTTTTAATTTAAATTATTATATTCTTCTTTGCAGCTTTCTTATGAAAAAATAAATTATTTTTGAACAATGGAAAGTTATTTTTTCGTATATAAAACTAAAATCGTTTTCTACAAAGTAGTTTAAACAGAAAAAAATATTAAAGTTGACATTCAAAAATCAGGTCTTTTTCATAACGTCGCCTTCTATGCCGACTGCTTCGAAATAGAGACACGAGATGGAGATACTATCGTGGTATTTCTAGAGGGCATCCAGTTTGATAGTTCGGCAACAAGTGAGCACGTGTAAAGTGTGTGAATTTTTTTGTATATATTTTAAAGATAAGATTTTTTTGCTTACACTTTTTGGTGTCTTTTACAAAACGCTACATACAACTCTTGTTTTAGAAGTTACCTTTTTTATTTTCATTTTGTATTATAGCATAATAGAAATGCCGAAAGATATTTACATTCAACAGTATTTCTGAAAAATAACGTTTGAAAAAGTCAAAAGCAATGTGTCATGTCAGGAAGATACGTTAGGAGGAGGACAATGTTTCATTTCTTTCTTGTGTTCCTTCCCTATTTCAGATTAACCCTATAAGTTTATTTTTGTTATTTATAAACTTCTAGAATTTTTTTGCAGTCTATTACACTTTTCTATTACAAAGGAAAAAAAAATCGATCATATTGACCTGCCTGGACAAAATATATATACAAAATGTACATTTAACGAAAATTCGCCCATTTACAGATTGCCAACAATATTTTTGTTAACTTCTTTTTTTTTTAGAAAAATATCATGTGAATTCCAACATGGAAGATAGGTCGATGTCTCCTACATTTTCACCTCAACCTGTTATTGTACAAGCAACAAACTATTCACCTTACAGGTAATCACTTTATTTCTTTCATTATTAGGTACATTATCTGATTTTGCAATGTTGCTCATTTCGAAACTGAAAAAACTAACAGCTTATATAAAAAAAAATTCATTTTCTAATCAAAGAAACTTATTTTAATATTCATTTAACAATAATTATTAAAGAAACACTTATTTTGTAACTAAGATACTTAAATTTGCTAGCAGTGAAGCTCATCAAGGAACTAAATACATAAATAGTAAAAAATGCTTATTATGAAACTAGATAAACGCTCATTTTGAAATTATTCACTGGTTACATAAATAGTTCATTTTGCAACTAATTACATAAATAGTACAAAATGCTCATTAAGCAGTTAAGAAAACGCTTATTTTGCAACCAGTTATTAGTTAAACATTATTTTGCAACTAGTTGCATAAATAGATAAAAATGTTCATTTTGTAACCTTAAAATGCCTATTTTGCAATTAGTTACTTGTAATAATAGCATTTTGCGACTGGTTACAGAAATACATAAAAATTCTTATTTTAAAACTAGTTACTGGTTACATAAATAACTTATTTAGCAACTAATTACAAAACATTATTACATTATGCAACTAGGAAAACGCTAATTTTAAAATTATTCACTGGTTACATAAACAGCTCATTTTGAAATTAATTACATAAATAGTACTCATTTGGCAGTTAAGAAAACGCTTATTTTGCAACCAGTTATTAGTTAAACATTATTTTGCAACTAGTTGCATAAATAGATAAAAAGTGAAAAAGTGCTCAATTTCAACTAGAAAATGCTTATTTTCCAATAAGTTATGCGTAATAGCATTTTAGTTACAGAAATACAGGGCCATTTCAGGCGCGCGAAACGCACGAATTACGAATCTGTTTTTATAAAAAAATTGTAGATAATTTATTACATAATATTTTGGCATCAAAAGTGTCAAAAATATTCTTCTTTTAATGGCTATACATTAAATAAAAAACGTAGAGATAATTGTAATAATTGAAAGGTGTGGACGGGACAAAAAAAAAGATTTATCTTGTCCCGTCCACACCTGTCAATTATTAAAATTATATCTACTTTTATAAAATATTTTTTGCGTTTATTTAATGTATAGCCTAATAAAAGAAGAATAGGTTTTACATTTTTGATCTAAAAATATTATATAATAAATTACCTAGCATTTTCTTTATAAAAACAGTTTTTTGCATGCCTGAAATGGCCTGGCCCTACAATGCTCAATTTGCAACTAATTACATAAATAGTACAAAATGCTCTTTAAGCAGTTAAGAAAACTCTTATTTTGTAACAAGTTACTTGTAATAATAGAATTTTGCCACTAGTTACAGAAATACATAAAAATGCTAATTTTGAAACTAGTTACTGGTTACATAAATAACTTTTTATTTTAACTAATTACATAAATGGCACTTTCCATTTGGTTACTAGTAAAATAGCATTTTGCAATTAGTTACATAAACATATGTATAAAATGTCTAGTTTGAAAATAGTTACTGGTTACCTAAATAACTCATTTTACAATAAATTACATAAATAGCAATAATGATCATTTTACAAGCAGTTACTAGTTAAATAGCTATTTGCAGCTATTTGCATAAATACATTAAAATGCTCATTTCGCAACCAAGAAAACGCATATATTGCAACCAACTAATTAAATAAATAAATACTTTATTGCCCAACAGTTATAAACCAGTTACAGGACAAATATATAAATATAATATGACATGAAAATTTGATAAATACAATTTGAATGAATAATAATGTATAATAAAATATCATTTTGCAACTATGTAATTTAATAAATAGTATTTTTTTTAACTAGTTACTATGATTTTACTTAAATAGCTCATTTTAAAACTAGGAAAACGCCTATTTTGCAACCAGTTATTACTTAAAGAGCATTTTGAAACTGGTTGCATGAATAGATAAGAATGCTCATTTTGCAACCTGTTAAATCACTAGTTCACTAGTCACATAAATAAAATGATGATTTGTAACTAGTCACTAATTACATAAAAAGCTCATTTTGCTTCTATAATTTGATAAATAGTAAAAAATGCTTATTTTTCAACTAGGAAAACGCCTATTTTGCTACCAGTTAGTAGTTAAACAGAATTTTGAAACTACTTGTATAAATAGATAAAAATGCTTATTTTGCAATTAGTCAAATGATTATTTTGCAATTAGTTACTACTAAAATAGCATTCTGCAACTAGTTACATAAATCGATAAATTGGTTATTTTGCAACTAGTGACATAAATAGCTCATTTTGCAGCTAGGTAACGCTTATTTTGCAACTAGTTACATCAATAGAATTTTGCGATAGTTGTAAATAATTATTGGTTACCTGAATAGCTCATTTGGGAACTAAGATGACGGTTATTTTGCAAACATCTAACAAAACTTGTTGATAAAAATGCTTATTTTGCAATTAGTTACTAGTAAAATAGCATTTTGCAACTAGTTACATAAATAGCTCATTTTGCAGCTAGATAACACTTATTTTGCAACTAGTTACATCAACAGAATTTTGCGATGGTTGTAAATAATTTTTGGTTACATGAATAGCTCATTTGGCAACTAAGATGACGGTTATTTTGCAAACATCTAACAAAAGTTGTTGATAGAAATGCTTATTTTGCAATTAGGCAAATAATTATTTTGCAACTAGTTTCTACTAAAATAGCATTTTGCAACTAGTTACATAAATAGCTCTTTTTGCAGCTAGGTATCGCTTATTTTGCAACTAGTTTCATCAATAGAATTTTGCGATAGTTGTAAATAATTATTGGTTACATGAATAGCTCATTTGGCAACTGAGATAACGGTTATTTTGCAAACATCTAACAAAAGTTGTTGATAAAAATGCTTATTTTGCAATTATGCAAATGATTATTTTGCAACTATGTAGTTACATAAATAGCTCATTTTGCAGCTAGGTAACGCTTATTTTGCAACTAGTTACATCAATAGAATTTTGCGATAGTTGTAAATAATTATTGGTTACATGAATAGCTCATTTGGCAACTAAGATGACGGTTATTTTGCAAACATCTAACAAAAGTTGTTGATAAAATGCTTACTTTGCAATTAGGCGAATGATTATTTTGCATTTAGTTACTAGTAAAATACCATTCTGCAACTAGTTACATAAATCGATGAAAATGCTTATTTTGCAACTAGTTACCTAGATAGCTCATTTTGCAATTGGTAACGCTTATTATGCAACTAGTTACATTAAAAGTATTTTGCGATACTTGTAAATAATTACTTGTTACATGAATAGCTCATTTTGCAACTAAAAAAAGGTTATTTTGCAAGCATCTAACATAAATTTATTTCACGCTTATCAGCGGAGGCAGCAGCGGCTACAACGCGGTCGGCGGCGTCGCCAACAACGGCGGCATGGACTTGAAGCGGCACGCGGACAGCCCCGGAAGCGGCGGCGATCCGGACGCGCAGCCGGAAGTGAAGCGAGCGCGCAGCGACAAATACGAGCCGGAATAATTGGCGCGAAAGCACGGGCACCGCAAACGCAAAACCGATGGTGTATCAAGTTTTATTTCGAGAAATCATGCTTAGGATGTGGTGAGCACCGAAATTAATTAATTATGAACGCAAATAATTGGAGAATGATCTCAAAACCTTCATTGACATTTAGAACGTAGTTGTAATAATTATTGTGCTATAAGTAATTTTTGATAAGTGAAAAAAAGAGCGCGTTTCGTTGAATATTTTACTGTGTTATTTTAAAGTGTACATTTTATTCAAATTGTAGCAGTATTGTATATTTTTGTACAATCCAAGCATCAATTACTTACTAAGTATAATTTCACGGATTAATTTATTTTTTTCTATTCTGTGTATCAAATCGGAGAGTGTTTGTATTAATTTTTGACGAAAATTTATTCGATAAATTGTATATTTTTTATTTTCATCGCTACTGTAAATATATTACTACAATTTTTTATGATGATTTGGAACTTTATTTTCGCCTAAAAAGCACACCCGCAACCCAAGCAGAAAAAGTATTATTTGTTATTTTTTTAAAAATTGTTGCTGTTTAAAAATTTATATTTATTATGTGGTGTGTGCTTTTTGCGGCGTTGCCAAATGTTACTATGAGGCGTTTTAAATGAAGATCCACCGAGGATAATTTTATTTTTTAATAAAACTTGATAACATCATTTCGCCATGGAGAAGATTTATATAAATAAAACAAGTGGGATTATAATAAAATGCAAATTTTAATTTTAAACCCATTGTATAATTTTTCTTTTTTAATGAATTGACTAGCATTTTTTGCGGACATTTTTCTCACGTAGCTGGTATACGTTTTTCAACTGTCTGCAATTTTAAGCGTTTTTCTGACTATTATTACTGTTAGATATACATGTATACAAAATTATTGTAGGTATTTAAATAAAGTACTATTATTGCTGTGAAAACTTGTTTTTATTCATAAAAAATTACCTACAAAACAATTATATACTATAAGTCTTAAAAATAAGTATTCACTGGATTTCAGACTACTTTTACTAACAAAATTCTTTATACCTACATAACATAACATAAATAAAAAATGCTAACACGTGTCAAAAGATCGAATTTTTTGCGTTTTTTTTTTGGCTGAAACTTTTTTTTTTTCCATTCCATCAAATACATTTTTCATAATTTTTTCACCCAACCAAAAAAAATTTCTCTTTATTTTGTAAAATTTCTCAATGATTGTCTTAATTTTTTTTCTTTTATCAGAAACATTTTCTGCAATTTCTCCAAATTTTCGTGGAATTTTTTCGTTTTCGATTTTTTGGTACTTTGGTGATGGAGTTTGTTTCATTTTTTCAACACTATTGAAACTATTAAAAAGTGTAAAAAAAATGAGTCCCTAGAAAAGTTTATAAACGAGTTGCATACTATAATTTTTACACGACAAGTATTTATTATTATCTAAAAATTATTTAAATTAAACATTTGTATAGAACGACATCTATAAAAAATAGTGTAAAGCCTCATTCAGAACCTCGTAATTAGAGGAATAAATTAGTGGTTTCAATTAACGTAAAAGTTTGTCCAAAAAATAAGTGGTAGTACTTTTCAATTAGTGGAAAAAGTTTGCAAACTTCTTTCACCACTAATTATAATTGGAAAGCGGCTTTGCGCGGATATTTTATGTCAAAAGCAAAATGTTTGAAGATTTGCCAGTGAAGGTAAGGTTATATAAATATTATTGTAATGGTTTTAAAAAATATTATTTCAATATAATTAATATTGTTTATGTCTTGTTAAGAAGAATTGACAATCTTTTAGCAAATTCCCTTAATTTTAGATGTTAATTTTGCGCATTGTGAATGATTGTTTTGTGTTAATTATAAGTATAATTGAAACCACTAATTTTTTCCACTAATTACGAGGTTCTGAATGAGGCTTAACTCGCTAAAGTATTTTTAACTTGGGAATCTGTATTACGGGCGCGTCGATTAAAATGTCAAATTTTTATGTTTAAATCGAAATTTATTTATTGAAAATGGAATAAAAACCGTTTAAATCTAATTTAAAAGCAGTTTTTTACAGTGAAAGTGAAGAGAATTTCTTATGGGCACTCTGAGGTGGAGTCTCCACCCGAAATTAAGTTAAATCTAGTTTACTGCCGGCGAAATGAAAAGGTCAGTACAACGTGCATTTAAACAAAGTGTTTTTATTAATTTTTGACCAAAATTTATTTCATAAATTGTATATTTTTATTTTCATCGCTACTTTAAATATATTACTACAATTTTTTATGAAGATTTGGAACTTTATTTTCGCCTAAAAAGCACACCCGCAACCCAAGCAGAAAAAAGTATTATTTGTTATTTTTTTTTTAAATTGTTGCTGTTTAAAAATTTATATTTATTATGTAGGGTGTGCTTTTCGCGGCGTTGCCAAATGTTACTATGATGCGTTTTAAATGAAGATCCACCGAGGGTAATTTTATTGTTTAATAAAACTTGATAACATCATTTCGCCATGGAGAAAATTTATATAAATAAAACAAGTGGGATTATGATAAAATGCAAATTTTAATTTTAAACCCATTGTATAATTTTTCTTTTTTAATGAATTGACTAGCATTTTTGCGGACATTTTTCTCACGTAGCTGGTATACGTTTTTCAACTGTCTGCAATTTTAAGCGTTTTTCTGACTATTATTACTGTTAGATATACATGTATACAAAATTATTGTAGGTATTTAAATAAAGTACTATTATTGCTGTGAAAACTTGTTTTTATTCATAAAAAAATACCTTCAAAACAATTATCTACTATAAGTCTTAAAAATAAGTATTCACTGGATTTCAGACTACTTTTACTAACAAAATTCTTTATACCTACATAACATAACATAAATAAAAAATGCTAACACGTGTCAAAAGATCGAATTTTTTGCGATTTTTTTTTGGCTGAAACTTTTTTATCTTTTTTCATCCCATCAAAAACATTTTTTCATAATTTTTTCACCCAACCAAAAAAAAATCCTGTAAAATTTCTCAATGATTGTCTTAATTTTTTTTCTTTTATCAGAAACATTTTCTGCAATTTCGATTTTTTGGTACTTTGTGATGGAGTTTGTTTCATTTTTTCAACACTATTGAAACTATTAAAAAGTGTAAAAAAATGAGTGCCTAGAAAAGTTTATAAACGAGTTGCATACTATAATTTTATTATTATCTAAAAATTATTTAAATTAAACATTTGTATAGAACGACATCTAAATAAAAATATTATAAAAAATACTGTAAAGCCTCATTCAGAACCTCGTAATTAGTGGAATAAATTAGTGGTTTCAATTAACGTAAAAGTTTGTCCAAAAAATAAGTGGTAGTACTTTTCAATTAGTGGAAAAAGTTTGCAAACTTCTAACTTTACCACTAATTATAATTGGAAAGCGGCTTTGCGCGGATATTTTATGTCAAAAGCAAAATGTTTGAAGATTTGCCAGTGAAGGTAAGGTTATATAAATATTATTGCAATGGTTTTAAAAAATATTATTTCAATATAATTAATATTGTTTATTTCTTGTTAAGAAGAATTGACAATCTTTTAGCAAATTCCCTTAATTTTAGATGTTAATTTTGCGCATTGTGAATGATCGTTTTGTGTTAATTATAAGTATAATTGAAACCACTATTTTTTTCCACTGTATTACGGGCGCGTCGATCAAAATGTCAAATTTTTATGTTTAAATCGAAATTTATTTATTGAAAATGAAATAAAAACCGTTTAAATCTAATTTAAAAGCAGTTTTTTACAGTGAAAGTGAAGAGAATTTCTTATGGGCACTCTGAGGTGGAGTCTCCACCCGAAATTAAGTTAAATCTAGTTTACTGCCGGCGAAATCAAAAGGTCAGTACAACGTGCATTTAAACAGAGTGTTTTTATTAATTTTTGACCAAAATTTATTTCATAAATTGTATATTTTTATTTTCATCGCTACTGTAAATATATTACTACAATTTTTTATGATGATTTGGAACTTTATTTTCGCCTAAAAAGCACACCCGCAACCCAAGCAGAAAAAAGTATTATTTGTTATTTTTTTTTTAAATTGTTGCTGTTTAAAAATTTATATTTATTATGTAGGGTGTGCTTTTCGCGGCGTTGCCAAATGTTACTATGATGCGTTTTAAATGAAGATCCACCGAGGGTAATTTTATTGTTTAATAAAACTTGATAACATCATTTCGCCATGGAGAAGATTTATATAAATAAAACAAGTGGGATTATTATAAAATGCAAATTTTAATTTTAAACCCATTGTATAATTTTTCTTTTTTAATGAATTGACTAGCATTTTTTGCGGACATTTTTCTCACGTAGCTGGTATACGTTTTTCAACTGTCTGCAATTTTAAGCGTTGTCTGACTATTATTACTGTTAGATATACATGTATACAAAATTATTGTAGGTATTTAAATAAAGTACTATTATTGCTGTGAAAACTTGTTTTTATTCATAAAAAATTACCTACAAAACAATTATATACTATAAGTCTTAAAAATAAGTATTCACTGGATTTCAGACTACTTTTACTAACAAAATTCTTTATACCTACATAACATAACATAAATAAAAAATGCTAACACGTGTCAAAAGATCGAATTTTTTGCGTTTTTTTTTTGGCTGAAACTTTTTTTTTTTTCCATTCCATCAAATACATTTTTCATAATTTTTTCACCCAACCAAAAAAAAATTTCTCTTTATTTTGTAAAATTTCTCAATGATTGTCTTAATTTTTTTTCTTTTATCAGAAACATTTTCTGCAATTTCTCCAAAATTTCGTGGAATTTTTTCGTTTTCGATTTTTTGGTACTTTGGTGATGGAGTTTGTTTCATTTTTTCAACACTATTGAAACTATTAAAAAGTGTAAAAAAAATGAGTCCCTAGAAAAGTTTATAAACGAGTTGCATACTATAATTTTTCCACGATAAGTATTTATTATTATCTAAAAATTATTTAAATTAAACATTTGTATAGAACGACATCTATAAAAAATAGTGTAAAGCCTCATTCAGAACCTCGTAATTAGAGGAATAAATTAGTGGTTTCAATTAACGTAAAAGTTTGTCCAAAAAATAAGTGGTAGTGTGGTAGTACTTTTCAATTAGTGGAAAAAGTTTGCAAACTTCTTTCACCACTAATTATAATTGGAAAGCGGCTTTGCGCGGATATTTTATGTCAAAAGCAAAATGTTTGAAGATTTGCCAGTGAAGGTAAGGTTATATAAATATTATTGTAATGGTTTTAAAAAATATTATTTCAATATAATTAATATTGTTTATGTCTTGTTAAGAAGAATTGACAATCTTTTAGCAAATTCCCTTAATTTTAGATGTTAATTTTGCGCATTGTGAATGATTGTTTTTGTGTTAATTATAAGTATAATTGAAACCACTAATTTTTTCCACTAATTACGAGGTTCTGAATGAGGCTTAACTCGCTAAAGTATTTTTAACTTGGGGAATCTGTATTACGGGCGCGTCGATTAAAATGTCAAATTTTTATGTTTAAATCGAAATTTATTTATTGAAAATGGAATAAAAACCGTTTAAATCTAATTTAAAAGCAGTTTTTTACAGTGAAAGTGAAGAGAATTTCTTATGGAATTCTGAGGTGGAGTCTCCACCCCCGAAATTAAGTTAAATCTAGTTTACTGCCGGCGAAATGGAAAAGGTCAGTACAACGTGCATTTAAACAAAGTGTTTTTTATTAATTTTTGACCAAAATTTATTTCATAAATTGTATATTTTTTATTTTCATCGCTACTTTAAATATATTACTACAATTTTTTATGAAGATTTGGAACTTTATTTTCGCCTAAAAAGCACACCCGCAACCCAAGCAGAAAAAAGTATTATTTGTTATTTTTTTTTTAAATTGTTGCTGTTTAAAAATTTATATTTAT